GAAAAGTTGACAGCTATGAATCCACTGTCCACTGAACTAAACTAGTTCTTAGAGCCATTGGGATCAATGGTTCTGGACAGAGCAATACAAACTACAGGACGCCTTGACATAGCTGTCAACTTACAGATTTGAAAATAAGGGACCAGCAGCCTTGAAAATAAGGGACCAGCAGCCAAAATAAGGGACCTGCAGCCTCACCTGTTCCAGGCACTCCAGTCTTCCTGTCCTCCTGCAGTCTGGTCAAACTCATGCTGGTAGCTTCAAGAACACTGTCCAACCAACTTTGTAACCAGAGGTTCAACTGAATAGAATCTGAATCACATGCACCACAAGGCCTATGCAGCCTCAACCTAAGATGGCTCCCCAGCCTGGCTTTGCACTGCAAAGTTTGCAGCAGCACGTGTAACAAAATGGCGTCCAGCATTCAAAAAACCTCTCAGCTTGCATTAACTAGCCACACACAAGGCATGCAAGCTCCACCCCCCAGTCGTTCTTAGACTTCTTATTGGGTGAGCAACACAGCCAAGCAACCCAGTTGGAGCCTCCCTCCTCCCTGGCCGGCAGGGAGGGAGGGAGAGGAGCTGCTCCCTTTGAAATTTAAGGGACATCATTTAAGGGACATTTAAGGGACATCTATCAATAAGGGACAGCAGCGGGACATGGCTCTGGAATACGGGATTGTCCCTTCAAATAAGGGACACTTGACAGCTATGCGCCTTGAGGGGGCATGGCTGCCGATGATCCACAAGTGCAAAACACACTGCATCTGTTATGTATTGAAGTTCTCACCCTGGCCAAAAGGAGTATCGTGTATATAGGGCCTTCTCAGCCGCGGCTCCAATCTGGTGGAACGCTCTGTCACAAGAGACTAGGGCCCTGCAGGACCTGACATCCTTCTGCAGGGCCTGCAAGACAGAGCTGTTCCACCAGGCCTTTGGTCAGGGCGCAGCCTGACCCCCTCCTCTGGCAATCAGCAATCTGCACAGAATTTTGCTTGATGGTTGCCATTAATTTGATTTTAATTTGATTTAATTAATTTTATAATGAATGTTTTTAGAATGTCGGACTATTTTGATTGTTGTTAGCCGCCCTGAGCCCAGCTTCGGCTGGGGAGGGCGGGATATAAATAAAATTTATTATTATTATTATTATTATTATTATTATTATTATTATAGTTTTCACTCAGGTCCACCTCAGTTACTCACTATTCAACAGCATCCAAGCTCTGTCTGGTTGAAGATGGGTGTGCAGAAACCCCCAAAGCACCTACACTTGGAAACTCCCTGCCTATTGATACCAGGCAAGTGCCATCACTGTATTCCTTTTGGGGCCTGCCTGGAACATTTTCAGTTAGGCAAGACACAAAAAAGATGTGACATGCGTTTTATTTATTTATTTTAGCTGGTTTTTAAAGTCTTTTATACTATTCCAAACACCTGGTTTTTATATAGACAGTAATTGTAGTGTTTTATATTATTGTAAACCACTTAAGAGGCTGTTGGCTTTTTCAGAAATCAAGTTTTGCTAAATACATACGTGAATACTGGAGTACTGGGACTTTTCGCAGCACCTCGTCAATGTCGTGACTGTCAAAATGCCAGCTTGTACTCCCCTGCCCCCAGTTAATCCGGATTTTCCATTAACAGGGAAACACCATTAAACAGAAAGCAACCCATTATGCACTCAAAGTCACCACTGGTATGAAAGCTCATTAGCACATTTATTTGGGCTAGGGTTGCCATACGTCTGGGAATTCCCGGACATGACCTCTTTTGTGTGTTTTTTATAATCTTTTTTATTAATTTTAACATATAAATTATAAAATGTACCACAAAACTTATCACTTATACAATCTTTTTGGACTTCCATCAGCACCTCTGATGATCCACCATTGTAACCACTTCTTATGCATTTCTTAACTTTATATTGCCTTTACATCTCTTAACAAATCATCCTCCCCCTTATCCATTTTTACAATACTTCAAATAATACTCCTCACAAAACTTCTTGCAACCTACAAACGTCGTCTGTTCTTCACAATTACTTTTCAAATAGTCTGTAAATTTACTCGTCTTCCGTGAATTTCTGGTCTCGCCGGTTTCGAATCCTTCCTGTTAGTTTATCTAATTCTGCATAGTCCATTAACTTCATCCTCCATTCTTCAATCGGCGGTAACTCTTCTTGCTTCCATTTTTGGGCCAATAATATTCTTGCTGCTGTTATTGCATATAAAAAGAGCTTACATTCCTTTCTATTTATATCACTCCCCACAATGCCCAATAGAAATGCTTCTGGTTTCTTTATAAATGTATATTTCAACATTTTTTTCAACTCATTATATATCATCTCCCAGAAGCATTTCACCTTTTTACATTCCCACCACATGTGATAAAATGTTCCCTCTTTTTCTTTGGACATGTCCTCTTTTGGGGGTCTGACATGCCCACCCAGGGGGAATTTTACATTTTAAAGCAAATGTCCTGGATTTGGGTTTTTTATTATTTTAGTTTAGTTTAGTGCACGGGTATCTCTGATTCAAGCTCTGACTCTGGTGTGGACGACTCTGGCTTTGTGGCGGTAGAGGGGCTATCAGGTGATTGCCTTTGTTATAGCAATTCTAAGTTCTTAAAAATAGAATAAATGTTGGTAATTGCACAAGGCAAACACACATACATAAGTACATAAACCACATGTCTATAATAGTACAGGAGAGCAATCCCAAAGCCATCTTGGCTATCCTAAAGACTCTAGGATGGGTGGAGTATAAATTATTATTATTATTATTATTATTATTATTATTATTATTATTATTATTATTATTTCATCTGCCTCCTTAATCCCCCTTGCCTGAGAAGAACAGGTAGGCAGATAGATATTTAACTTTTTCCACTGCTTCTAAACCAATCTGTTGCTGCAACAGATCCACCAAATCTTGTTTCATATTCTTAACTAACATTTTAGTTTTCTTTTTATTCAGTTTAAAACCTGGTACTTGCCCAAATAGTTCTATCTCCTCTAGTACTTCTTTGGCACTAATGAATGGTTCTTCTAGTGTCGCTATTGTCTTATCAAATGCTAATGTTTTGTGCAAACTGTGTCTGGAACCATGTGAAACTTGCTAAATCCTCAGGAATATCTCACCTTGGCCTGCCTGAGCCACTGTTACCCCACCTTATGTGTGATGTAATTTCTGACTTTTATAGAGGGGGTGTCCTCCTTCTTCACGCCAAAATGCAAACACTTCAAAGAGATGTTTCTTCTTGGTTCGGGGTCTCTCTTGCCTTCTTGCTAGGAGGGGAGGGAACTCTGTCGCAACAGAAAGATAAAGAAGACGAAGAAGAAGAGTTTGGATTTGATATCCCGTTTTATCACGACCCGAAGGAGTCTCAAAGCGGCTAACATTCTCCTTTCCCTTCCTCCCCCACAACAAACACTCTGTGAGGTGAGTGGGGCTGAGAGACTTCGGAGAAGTGTGACTAGCCCAAGGTCACCCAGCAGCTGCAGGTGGAGGAGCGGGGAAGTGAACCCAGTTCACCAGATAACGAGTCTACCGCTCTTAACCACTACACCACACTGGCTCCTGCATCCTGACTGCATCCTGCCTCCATCCATTCATCTCTGACCAATCATGGACTTAGGGGACTCAGGGGGAGTTGGGCAGCCAAAGCCAACCACCCCTATTTTTTCTATATCAGTTTTGGCGACCACAAAGGGACTTAAATCGGTACACCTACCTCTGGGAGGTGGGGATCCAGTGAAGCTTAGCGCGCAACTGACCATTTGTCAGTGAGTTTCCCGGTTTCACCATTTTTTCTTGGGTGGGAGGTAACCAAAGTTCTGGATTGGAGCTGGAGCCAAGAAAAGGAACACTAACATCAAGATGGCCAAGAAAAGGAACATGAGTTCCCTGGATCATCTTGTTATAAGAATCCTAAGGTCTCAAATATAAATTAAATTAAGCTTACCAGATTTTTTCCAATGAATCCGGGGACACTTTTCAACTTCAATTGATTTTGTATGGGGACTGATTTGTAAATCCAGGGACTGTCCCCGGGAAACGGGGACGTCTTGTAACCTTAAATTAAATGTTCATAAATGTACAAGGCAAACACATACATAAGTACATAAACCATATGTCTGAAATAGTACAGGAGAGCAATCCTGAAGCCATTTTGACTCTCCCAATGACCTCAAATATTCCTCTGCAGTAAGAGAGGCAAATGGGGAAAGCCTTCCCATGGCCTTTTTGCTTGCAAATCCTGTCTTAAGGCAGCATTTGTGTATGAATAGGGTGAGCCAGTGACCTGGATTCAGGAACTAAAGTATGAACCATCACAAATGAATGGCCAGGCTGCCCAGGTAATGCAAACAGCGACCATTATCAGATCCTGGCAGACAGGATTTCTGCAACAGACCGTCTCCTTCTGTGATGTATTTATGACTTTTTAGGGGGTGGTCTTGGGCTACAGGATGGGCAATTTCAAAAGTCTATATAAGGGCTTGCACACCATTGTTCTGGGTTCCTCTCCTCCCTCCCTACGTAGGGGACCCTGTTGCAACAGGTAATAAAGATCAGGCTTACTAGCCGCTTTGCTTCTCAATATACTCTGGTTGGCCTCTGTCATTTTCTCCTCCCGATAAGGAACCCGCTTAAGGACTCTATACAGTGGTGCCTCGCAAGACGAAATTAATCCATTCCGCAAGTCTCTTCGTCTTGCGGTTTTTTCGTCTTGCGAAGCACGGCTATTAGCAGCTTAGCGGCTTAGCGGCTATTAGCAGCTTAGTGGCTATTAACGGCTTAGCGGCTATTAGCGGCTTAGCGGCTTTAAGAAAAAGGAAACAAACTCGCAAGAACTCGCAAGATGTTTCGTCTTGCGAAGCAAGCCCATAGGGAAATTCGTCTTGCGGAACGACTAAAAAAACGGAAAACTCTTTCGTCTAGCGAGTTTTTCGTCTTGCGAGGCATTCGTCTTGTGGGTCACCACTGTACAGGCTCTTGGATACCCCATAAGGGAAAAGGAGCAGTTTTCTTTCCTTATAACAATCTGTTGGCATGTGAGTATGAGTATGAGTGAAGTGAAACATGGGTTGTAGCTGAAGAGTGAAAGGATTTCAGTGCTTGTATACACACTGGAAGTGGACACCTATTCTGACTGGGAACATGTCAGGACATGTGAGTGTCTCCGAACCGTGAACAGGTCAACGTGTGTTCGTGTCTGTGTGTAAGTCTTGTTCTGTCGTTGTTGCATTTTTTGGGAAACTTTAATGGGCTCATTAAGGCACCAACATCCAGCCTGATGCTGCTTGAAAGAGAGGAAATTGGGGTATGTTAGATATCTTTGTTTCCCTAGGAGTGAGTAAGTTTTGTACTTAAGGTTTAAAAATGTTAAGAAAACGTTTCCCCCCTGTGTTTAAATTGGGCTTAAAGGGAACATTTGGCGGCTGTGTATCCTAAATGTGCCGTTTAAATGCAAGTTTGCTTCAAAATCTTTGTGTGAGGGAGACATGCTGGGCCTGATCAATCCCCAAAACATGGCAGATATTGAGAAAAGCGGGAGAGGTGTGCTGATGTTTGTTGTTTGAAAGAGGCTGTAAAAAGGACAGTCTTTCTCCAAATAGTAACAGGAAAATGTGTGTGTATACTTGCTCTTGTACCTTGGAAAGAGATTGGGCTCCCCTTTCTCTACAGTAAAAGGGGGCAAGGGGAGGGAAAAGGAGATTTGTAACTTTGAAAATGTTTTGCTTGAAACTTGGAGTTTGTAAACTCCATCAAAAGGGAGACACTACTTAATCTCAGTCTCTTTTACTCTGAAGTTAGCCTCTTGGTATACTTAATTTTTCCTTCTGCAAATAGCCTAGTCTGAGCCCAAAATCCTCTTACAAGCCAAGATGCAGTGTCGGCTTTCATTTAGCCGAGTGCCTGGCATGCTCTGGTCCATGCGGCCATGAAGAGTCAGACGCGACTAAACGACTAAGCAACAACAGCAACAGGTCTCCTCAGAGAGTAAAAGGTATTTTGAGGAATCCTAGAAAATGTTATGACTGTATAACTATGGGGGAAATTAGTGTCCCTTCTAGAAAAGAAAAGAAAAATGTTAAAAGGTAGAGCTTCCATGTGCAGTAATTGTCTGTCTGAGTTTGGGCCTTGACGTGGATTTGTTTGGCTAAATAGGTCATTGGAAGGCTGATGTCTCCATAGGATTAACCCAGACCCTCAGGCTCCCCTTTAAAAAAATAATTTTTTTTCACCTCTGAATTTTTCTTCCCTCCATCTTCTTATTTCTGTAACACCCGAGTAAGCTTCCTTTAATGAGGAAACTGCAAGGTGGGGGGCCACTTTCCTGTGTGTTGTTATTTTAACTCCCATTCTTTATACTAGGCTTTCTATTCCTATGTAAGTTCAGGAAATTGTTCACTTTTATCTTCCTTTTAAATCGCTTCTCTAGAAAACTTGGCCCAACCTGGGTATTTTATGTGCTACAAGCACCCCTTTAGTCTCAGGAAGTAAATGATAACAGGAATGCTATACTGCAGTTGATTCCACTGGTTCATGCATTTGTTTATTTTTCTAACTGGAGTTAGTTTTCTAACCCAAACGGGAGGTCAAAATATTGATAAAAATGTCGGCAGCAGAAATCTTGGATTCCAGAATGGCAGCTATACATGTACTTCTCGGCAGATTGGCAACACCACTTTTGCGGCATGGGTTGACAATAAATTTCTGCTTGTGGCAATGAGTTTTTCCCCACCCTGCTACAAGCAGATCCCATCTTGCATGGTGGTGGGGTCTTGGGTATTAAAAGGCTGTTGACTTAAGTTGTTGGCATCCATCTGCCTCAACAGACAATGGAAGAAGAAGAAGAGTTTGGATTTGACATCCGCCTTTCACTCCCCTTAAGGAGTCTCAAAGCGGCTAACATTCTCCTTTCCCTTCCTCCCCCACAACAAGCACTCTGTGAGGTGAGTGGGGCTGAGAGACTTCAGAGAAGTGTGACTGGCCCAAGGTCACCCAGCAGCTGCATGTGGAGGAGCGGGGAATCGAACCTGGTTCACCAGATTACGCGTCTACCGCTCTTAACCACTACACCACACTGGCTCCAATGGAGAGCTCCTGCGGGGGTGAAGCCAAACCACTGGAGAATCGCTGTGCCTGCTGTGGCTGTAGAGACCAGTAACTTGTAACTGCTGCCTCCAGAATATTTTTTTGCTACCGTATTTTTCGCTCTATAAGACGCACCCGACCATGAGACGCACCTAGTTTTAGAGGAGGAGAACAAGAAAAAAAATATTCTCTCCCTCTCTGCTCAGCGCCTCTCCAGCAAAGCGGGAGGAGAAATGGAAGGGGGCTCTGTTTCTCCTCCCGCTTCGCTGAAGGGGCGCTGCGTAGAGAGGGAAAGCTGCACAGCGCCTCTCCAGCGAAGCGAAGCCAAGAGAGCAAGAGGTATTGGTGCGCACCAATCCCTCTTGCGTTCCTGGCTTCAGCAAAAGCTGCACACTCTGCATTCACGCCATAAGATGCACACACATTTCCCCTTACTTTTGAGGAGGGGAAAAGTGTGTCTTATAGAGCGAAAAATACGGTACATTAGCAGCACTGAAGTGACCTCTCTAGGGAGCAAGTTTTGGCTGTGTTTTCCTGGGCTGCCCAGACAACAAGACCCCACTCTTGGCCTCGCTGATGTGGTCCAAAGGAAAGCAGAGCGATACGTTTGGCTCCTTAGCTTTTCCTTCTCCCAAAGATATCCCACAAGGCAGCAGAGGTTTAGGACCAGAGTTTTCCTTCTCCTAGATGGGCTACCTTCTCAGGTTGACGAGCCCCACCTGCCCCTCACTTCTCTCTACAGCAAGTGCAGAATCTGCCTTCTTGACCATTGGACCCATTCTTGGCCTTGTCCGCTCTATCTGCTACAACCTGTCTTTGCAGGTTTCGGAGCCAGTGTGGTGTGGTGGTTAAGAGCGGTGGGCTCATAATCTGGTGAACCAGGTTCGCTTCCCCGCTCCTCCACATGCAGCTGCTGGGTGACCTTGGGCCAGTCACACTTCTTTGAAGTCTCTCAGCCCCACTCACCTCACAGAGTGTTTGTTGTGGGGGAGGAAGGGAAAGGAGAATGTTAGCCACTTTGAGACTCCTTCGGGTAGTGATAATGCGGGATATCAAATACAAGCTCTTCTTCTTCCTCTTCTTTGCATGCAGAGGAAGTCCCTAACTCACTGAGGGTTCGAGACCCATAGCATAAATAGTACGCTGGCAAAATGCAAGCCAGCAAAATGACATGCCCTTCTAAAAATTTTTTTTAAAAATTAGGTATCTGAAGAAGTGTGCATGCACACGAAAGCTTACACCCAGAACAAACTTAGTTGGTCTCTAAGGTGCTACTGAACAATTTTTTAATTTTTTTAATTTATTTCGTCTGTGTCAGACCAACATGGCTACCTACCTAATTCTAAAAATTAAGTTAGACCCAACAAGTTCCTTTGCCAGCTTTGATGGAAAACCTCTGCTAAAAAAAAATAAACAAATCAGGTTTGCTGTGCTGCCACTCAGGAAACCTGACAGCTCTGAACTTGGCTGTGAATGCTTCTTTCTGCATTTAATCCTTGTACCCTTTGGGGCTTCTCTTAAACTAGGTTGCTGGCGCTATGCCCAGGCTATCCTGTCCTTCGCCCTCACTTCCAGTTTCTGCAACGCCCTCTCCACCTTTACTCCCCTTTGACGCAATTTCTCTGGTAGTAGCAAAAAGGGAGTGAGATTGACTAAGCTGGGCCCTGTCAAACGAGTTGCCGTGAAGATTGTGGAGCGTCGGTTCCTTGGATCCTCAAGTCTTCTTTCGGATAGGAAAGCTTTCCCGATCTTTCAGCTTGGATCTTTTGCCCTGGCGTAGGACTTGTTTGCCGGCACCTGCGCCAGCTCCTTAGACATAAAACACTGGAAAGAAACCAACTCCCAGGAGGTGGAAACGAGGAAATATTTATCAAGCTGTGTGCCAACTGTGCTATTCAGGCACGATCTAATTTGCCCTGTGCAAAAGCAGATTCTGTGATGAAAGGAGCAGCGCCGTCGTCATCCCCACAATGACTTGTGGGGTAGAGCCAATGTTTGGCTCACAATGGATGGCGGAGATGTGGCTTTGGGTCCTGCCACTCGTCCTAGTGTGCCTGCCTTCTGCCTGCCTTCAGCCTGCAAATATTCTGGAGTCTGTCCACTGCTCTCAGGTAGGTACAAGCCTTCTGAAAAATTGGGGTCGGGGAGGGAGGGTCAGCGAATGGAGTATCCAGAAGGCGGCCACGGCTGGCTGGCCGGCTGGCATCATTGGCAGGGCCATGCCACACACCACACGATGTGCTTGGAAGTTCAACTTATTCTAAATGAGCTATCGTGGTTGTTCAAACGGGGGGAAGTGGTTTCGTTTGTGGCATAGGCTGTATTCCCAGAGAAGGCATGCGTGTCCAGACCTCTTCGAAGAAAGGGTCTTGAGTAAGACTACACTCACAGGCGGTTTACTTCCACCTCTCTCATACTGCTCAACCGTCCTGATCTAAGCGGGACATCCTGGAAACCTAGAAGCCATTCCCTGCTTCTGACTGGATCCTGGAACATCCCATTTTTTTTGGTCCAGCGCTCTGGCTTTCGGCTCTCGTGCGCTGGCACAAATCAGCTGGTTCCCTCGAAAGCAAAATAATGAGAGTCCCAATTTGGAGCATTTTTCATAGCTGTCAATTCTTCCCTTTTTTTTAAGGGAAATTCCTTTTTTCCGAATAGGATTCTTCGCAAGAAAAGGGAAAAGTTGACAGCTATGGCGTTTTTCCGCCTCAGGTCCCAAGCCAAACTGCCATGCTTCCCACCGCTGCCACCCTCTACAGTGGTACCTCGGGTTAAGAACTTAATTTGTTCTGGAGGTCCGTTCTTAACCTGAAACTCTTCTTAACCTGAAGCACCACTTTAGCTAATGGGATCTCCCTCCTGCTGCCGCTGCGCCACCGAAGCATGATTTCTGTTCTTATCCTGAAGCAAAGTTCTTAAGCTGAAGCAATATTTCTGGGTTAACAGAGTCTGTAACCTGAAGCGTATGTAACCTGAGGTACCACTGTATAGTTCTCTCAGCTATAACAAAATCCCACAACCTTTTTTTAAATGGGGGGGGGGATTCTTTAAAAAACATGCCTGATGTCACATTTAAGCTGGGGCTGTGTACACACCATACATTTATAGCACACACCCCAAGAGTCCTGGGAACTGTAGTTTGTTAAGGATGCCTGGAATTGTGAGCAGTCAGCTACAGCTCCCAGGATTCTGTGTATGCAGTCCCTGTTAATATTGAGCTGAACATGCTGGATGGGCCTTGGGGAGAGGGACAATTCTCTCCATCTCCCCTGCACTGCCTTTGACCCTTTCAGCCCTGAGGCCTCCTCTCCCCTGCCCATCATGGCCTCTCTGCCTAATTTTAGCAACTGCTGTGTGGAAGGGAAGGAGCGCTGTGGTTGCTAGGAGAGACTGAGGAGGAACTACCTGATCTACCTGGTCCTGTGACAAGGCCTCTTGGATTGCTGTTTACTCAGCAATTGCCGCAGGCCGAGGCTTCCTCGAGCTTGTGGCCATGGAGACAGCCACGGCAGGAACAAAAGGTTTCAGCGCCTGTGTAGCGAGGCTATGGCACTGCAGTGCTTCCCCCTCCTTTCCTGGCTCTGCTTCTGTGCCCTTTAACAGCAAGCCTGGCATCGCAAGAACTAAGCAGGCCGCTCTTTTGTTGCCACCTGTTCACCTGCCATGAAAAGCGTCACCTGCTCAGGTGACTGCAGTTGTCAAGGCTCAGGAAACAAGGCTGCAAGCCTTTGTGCCAAGCCAAGATGGCGACGTCCCTCGCCAGGACATTGCAAAAGCTGAAAAGTCCACCACACAGATACTACCACTTAGTAGTAGTACTGTTACTCTCCCTGAGTGAGAGACAGGGGAAAGTGTTTGCAACCACTTTGGGTGGTTTCCAGCTGAGGTGGTTTGATCTTTCTTTTTTTATCTGTGTTCTGCCACTGTGAGTCGAGTGGGGTTAATTGCACATTCTTTTGTAATTCAAGAAAATCTTTAGTAAAAAAATATTTCAAAACAAGGGGATGAACGTGTCAAGGACAGTGGGAGGAGAAGAATGGGGCTGCCATCCCTGTGATGGCATATCCCTCAACTGTCCTTATAAAAATGGGACATCCCATTTTGGGGGATCTCATGTGAGAGCACAGGAGCCAAAACATGTGAGATATTGCGGCCCGGAAGATGTGCAACCCAGTTTTTGGCCAGGACATGTTGGGGGGTATGTGATGGTAGGTGGGGGGGGGAGAGCAAAGGTCTACTGAGGTAATGAATAGTGCTAGTTACATCAAAGGCCTTGTCCCTTCTGCTTTGCCCCACTGTAGCTGAGAATATGGGGGTGCCAGTCAGCCAACCTGGTCTGGTGGTGTTTCTCCTAAATTCCTTCTAGAACAGCTCAAGGAGGTGAGGGTTGAGGGAAATGAACCTCAATGGTTCTGCTCCAACCTCCAGAGCCATTTCCAGAAAGTAGCTATGGGGTTGGTACTGTTCAACACTATGGCAGCTTTCCCATGGTGTTGTGCAGAGTCCCACCTTGTACCACACACTGTTTAATATTCTATATGAAGGGAGCGGTCTTAGAGAGTGTCAGAATATTTGGGTGGCACCCAGGTTTATCTCTGTGTTCCATCTGAACTAGGAGACACGGCTGATATGCTAGAGAGATATTTGGAAATAGCGATGGTCTGGATGTGAGCCAACAAATTGAATCCGAGGTATTATGTGTCCCCAAGTTCTCGGTCCAAGAGTTGGAGAACAGTTTGTTCTGGACAGCGTTGCACTCCTCTGGAAAGAGGAGGTCCATAGCTTGGGAGCACTCCTGGATCCCACATTGTCACTTGAGGCCCAGCTGGTTTCAGTGGTTAGGAGAGCCTGTTTTCAGCTCCCGCTGTTTTGCTAGCATTTACCTGTTTTGGACAGCGATGGCTTGGACACAGTACTCCATGCTCTCTGGTAACTTCCAGATTGGGAACTTCAACTGGTCCAAAATGCAGCAGCCAAATGACTGGCTGGGCTTGCCTTTAGAACTCAGTTAACCCTTCTTCCAAAACAGCCCAATTCAAGGTGTTTGTGCTAGTGTTTAAAGTCCTAAATTACTTAGCCCCCCCCCCAAATAACTGAGAGACCGCCTCCTTCCTTACAGATCCTTCTTGGTGTTAAGATCAGCAGAGGGGGGACTCTTGGTAGTTTCACCTCCTTCAAACATTTGGGTAGTGGTGGCCAAGGAGAGGGCATTGTCTGTGGCAGCCCCTAAGTTACGAAATTCCCTCCCCATAGCTTCACTAAACAGCTTTCAGGGAATGCTGAAGACACAGCTCTTTACCTTGGCCTATTCCTGCTGCTGTAATCTGTTTCGGACTGTTTCTAATGCTGCATTTTGTGTTGCTGCCCTGGGACCTGCTGGTGAAAGATGTGTAATAATAATAATAATAATAATAATAATAATAATAATAATGATGATGATGATGATGTGCTTTCTATATTGTTGTTGGCATCTGTCTGTCTTGAGAGACAATGGAGCGTACCCCCAGGAACTCTACATTTCTACATACAGACATCTGAAGGCAGCCCTGTTTAGGGAAGCTTTTAATGTTTAATAGGTTATTGTATTTTAGTGTTTCGTTGGAAGCCGCCCAGAGTGGCTGGGGAAACCCAGCCAGATGGGCGGTGTATAAATAATAAATTATTATTATTATTATTATTATTATTATTATTATTATTATTATTATTACTACTACTACTACTACTACAGTTATTTAGATAGTCCCCCCACTCAGGTGGGGGTTTGCTCCTTCCTTCTCCTTCCTCTGTTGCCATTGCCACTATCAAAAGTTAGATCGTATGTTTCATGGGGGCAGCAACCTGATATGTTTTATCCATTGGAATCATACATGGATATAGATATTGTTGGGTGCACCCCATTTTCTTATCAATGAAGTTCTTTAGGGAGGCCTACGTCTATCCAGAGTTCAGTTTTTTTGGTCAATGGAGACTCTGGTGTCTTTACGTAACGTGGTTTTCTTTACGCATATATACAACCTGAACATAGCATGGAGAGGCTCGTAGCATTAACATTTCAGCAGACCTTGCCTCCTCATTAGGTTCCCAGGGAGATCTCCAAACCATAGCTTTGGGTCCAGCACAGAGCAAGACAGGTCTCCCTGCCTCCTCCTTCTAGCATCAGCCAAAACTCACACACCAAAACTACGTGTGTGGTGATGTTGCAGGTAGCCTGGTGACGCTGGTAGGAAACGGCCTATATCCTTTCCTGGAAGTAACTTCACTTGTCACTATGGCAATGTATTTATTCTTAGCTAACTCTTTAAGATGCTGGTGAGTTTGGCCAAATTCATTACCCTAACAAAGGAGCTGGTTGGACCAGTTTACCAGTTCTGCTTTTGTAGATTCTAACCTCACAGATACAAACTCACAGGTTTGGAAGAAATCCACAAATATCACCCAGACTGATTTCCCTGCAAATCTATAATAATATAGTACTAAACCAGATGTAAGGGACGCGGGTGGTGCTGTGGGTTAAACCACAGAGCCTAGGGCTTGCCGATCAAAAGGTCAGCGGTTCGAATCCCCATGACGGGGTGAGCTCCCGTTGCTCGGTCCCTGCTCCTGCCAACCTAGCAGTTCGAAAGCACGTCAAAGTGCAAGTAGATAAATAGGTACCGCTCCGGCAGGAAGGTAAACGGCGTTTCCGTGCGCTGCTCTGGCTTAGTCATGCTGGCCACATGACCCGGAAGCTGTACGCCAGCTCCTTCGGCCAGTAAAGCGAGATGAGCGCCGCAACCCCAGAGTTGGTCACGACTGGACCTAATGGTCAGGGGTCCCTTTACCTTTACCTTTAAACCAGATGTGCAGGTGGAAAGGAGGTTCCTGGTTGACTTCTCAGAGCAAAAGATATAGCAGAATACCCAGAGTAGCTTACAGTAAGGGAAAAGCAGAACAATGCTGTTTAAAACAGTCAGTACAAACAGGTGAGTTGTAGTCCAACAATTCCTGGAGGGCTACAGGCTCCCCACCTTATTAAGCCAATATGTCCTGCGTTGGGAACAGCTTTTGTAGACCCAAGAAATTGGTCCTCACAATGAAATAACAGTTGGAAGGCATGTTGTTTTAGGCTCAGCCTGGCAGGGTGTGTTGTAGGGTGGGAGAAAAGAGGATCAACTTGTGATAGTCTCTTTACTAGCTCTTGAAACTGTCCCTTTTGTGTCCTTCTATAGGGTCTTGGCTGCCAGCTATTGGGTAAGTGTTTGTACCCAAAAAATTAATAATTCTCATCCCTGTTCTTTATTTTGATAAAACTATGGGTTTATCAACATCTGCCTTTTGCCCAGACAGATCCACACGTGAAGGCTCTGTGTCGGAGCAATTATTTAATCTTTAGTGTTAAATTGCTCAGAGAACTTAGGTTTTCTGAGGATTGCCGTATGCTCCGATTGTGCTTTAAAGAGCGGGTTTTCGTGGGGAAATCTCCAGAGGGAAAAAAAAAAAGTGTGCTCAGACATGTAGCTTTAAAGCATGGATGATCTTGCCTGGAAAGAGTGGAGGAAAGGTTAGCAATTTAAGGTTAGCAGTGAAGACTGCCATTGACTTGACTTGTCCTAAAGCCCCATGCGTGGGATTATTTTGCTACAGGGTTTGTTTGTTTAAAAGCATTCTTGTCATCGTTTGGCCACAATTCACATTGCATGACCCAAAACGTGCCAAATAGTTCTACTGCAGCGTTCCTGGGAAAGAGGGGAGTGTTTCGGGTGAGGATGGACGTCACCCAAGAAAGCCAACTTTAGACTGCCTTAGTCTTGTGGCCCATGGATTCAACACAAGCTTCTTCTCATCTACAAAAGCTTCAGACTATATTTTAGGGACACCTTGCCAACAAAGGTCCGTATAGTTAAAGCCATGGTTTTCCCAGTAGTGATGTATGGAAGTGAGAGCTGGACCATAAAGAAGGCTGATCACCGAAGAATTGATGCTTTTGAATTATGGTGCTGGAGGAGACTCTTGAGAGTCCCATGGACTGCAAGAAGATCAAACGCATCCATTCTGAAGGAAATCAGCCCTGAGTGCTCACTGGAAGGACAGATTGTGAAGCTGAGGCTCCAGTACTTTGGCCACCTCATGAGAAGAGAAGACTCCCTGGAGAAGACACTGATGCTGGGAAAGATGGAGGGCACAAGGAGAAGGGGGCGACAGAGGACGAGATGGTTGGATAGTGTTTTCGAGGTTACCAGCATGAGTTTGACCAAACTGCTGGAAGTAGTGGAGGACAGAGGTGCCTGGCGTGCTCTGGTCCATGGGGTCACGAAGAGTCGGACACGACTAAACGACTAAACAACAACAACATATTTTAGGGATGGAAGGTTCTGTGAATTTTGGTTCAGGGCTCTTTTGACGGTAGTGAGTGTTCCTTCGAAATGCTGTGTTTGGGGGTGCTAGCACACATTCTGCTGAATAAGACCCTTCTTTCACAGGGTAATTCTTTCTTTCTTTCTTTCTTTCTTTCTTTCTTTCTTTCTTTCTTTCTTTCTTTCTTTCGCCTACTTTCAGAAAAAGGTGTGCTGTGCATCCCTGGAGATGCCCTGCCAGTCCCAGGGCAAGACCCAGTCCTGGTGCTGACCCAGATGGAGACGAGGAACGGACTTCGGTGTCGGAAGCAGCGAGACTGCATCCCCTGTGTGCAGGTGATCCTACGCCTTGGCCTGCTGGGTGAGAAAGATGGCTCAGAGCTGAACGTTGAGTAACTGAACGTTGACCCTGGCCTGCTGCTGTTGCTGCAGTTGGCCTTGTACCTTGGCTTTCAGTCCTAGCTGGGCCATGCCCCCTCTGCCACTTCAGGGCAGGCTTGTTCGTCTAGTGATAGCAGGACGTGATTCTCACGTTAGGTTTGAGAGGTCATAGAGTTCAGTTCCTAGACATGCCCCATGAGGGACCAAACCATACAGAAGGAAGAAAGGCCAGAATTCAACAAGAGGACATGTACAGTGGTACCTTGGGTTAAGAACTTAATTTGTTCTGGAGGTCCGTTCTTAACCTGAAACTGTTCTTAACCTGAGGTACCACTTTAGCTAATGGGACCTCCCGCTGCTGCCGCCGCACGATTTCTGTTCTCATCCTGAAGCAAAGTTCTTAACCCGAGGTACTATTTCTGGGTTAGGGTCTGTAACCTGAAGCGTCTGTAACCTGAAGCGTCTGTAAGCCGAGGTACCACTGTACTTTGAACGTCCCAGGCTCTGTCCTAAGAACATAAAGAAGAGCCCTCTGAATCGGGCCCAAGGCCCATCTAGTCCATCGTCCTGTTCTCACAGTGGCCAGCCAGATGCCTGCTGGGAAAGCAGCAAGCAGGATTTGAACACAACACCTCTCTCCTCTCCTGTGGCTTCCAGAAACTGATATTCAGAAGCATTGCTGCCTCCATCTGTGGATGTAGATAGAGCCCAGCCATCAAATTTCCTCCGTCAATTTGTCCAATCCTCTCATAAAAAAAAAAAGTTTTCAATTAAATATTTCATTGTTACAAAACAGAGAATAAGTGGAGAAAAGTACAATTGCTGCACTGAGCTGCATTATTATTATTATTATTATCATTATATTTAAATATATTTTATTAATTTTAAATAAATACATTTATGAAAAACAGATGTACATACAAGTAAACAAACATACAATCAAACAAACCACCACGCTATAAGATATAAGAAGATTAATATAATTATCATCATATATACTCCTGGTATTGAACACAATTATAAAATTTATAGAAAGAAATTAAAAACTGACTTCCAATTAATCTCACTGTACTTTGTCTATCCATTACTTTATACCGCACAGTTACAAGAGCTGCATTATTATTATCGTTATTATTTCGGGTACACAGTCATTTTATTCCCTTGTAGAGTCACCTGCCTTGGGTTCGAAACAAGTTGAGGGAGCTGACAGGACCAGACCAGAGCCCAGAAGACATCATGGCAACACTGAAGGTGAGCCAGAAAGGAGACTTTGTCTACAGCAGTCCCTATGATGATGATGATAATGATGATTATATTTTGAAATATTGTGCAGTTCTACAGAAGTCAAAGAGGAGGAACAAGAAAGTTGGTATTGATGTTAACAATAGCAATTGCTGCACAGACAATAACCACCTTGGATAGTTCAGTTGGCTAGAGCGTGGTGCTGATAATGCCAAGGTCGCAGGTTCGAGCCCCATAAACAGTGCTTCCTCCCCCTTAAAAAAAATGTTTAGGGGTATTCGCCTTTTCCTACTCATATTGAAATACTGCCCCTCAGTGAGGCCAAGCTTAGATTCACAAAATGTTTAGGGTCTGCGTCCCCCTGCGTCCCCCCAGGAAAAAAAGACAGCTGCATATTCCTGCATTTTAGGGGGATGGACTGGATGATCCTCAGGGTCCCTTCCAGCTCTTGTGAGTCTATGAGCCTAATTAATTATCGATGGCTTGTTATATGAATGTGAGGAATGACTCAGCCTCATGAAGTATATTGATGGCCTCCAGTTCGAGAGTCCATATCTGCATTTATTTCCATTCCTCTTCTGACACCCTGCACTCCCTCCCTTCCTCTGTTCCCAGGATTCCTGCAGGCGCACGTGCTGCTCTCAGCTGAGACATACGCTTCCTCCCACTGCGCCATTATGAAGGTTTTGCTCCCCCGGGGCGGTGACTGGCACAACCGAAGCGATTTGGTAAGTGATTTGGGCCCATTGAATGCCCACTGGTGAAATCCAAAATTTGTAAGCATGGAGAACAAGTGGGAGGATCCACACCGTATGTTTCAAAGCACTCAAAATCCTGGGAACTGTAGTTTGCGAAGGGTGTTGGGAATTGTAGAATAGAATTTAGAATTTATTATTTATACCCCGCCCATCTGGCTGGGTTTCTCCAGCCACTCTGGGCGGCTTCCAACAAAGTATTAAATACAGTGGTCTGTTAAACATTAAAAGCTTCCTAGAATAGAATAGCTCTGTGAGGGGAAAATTACCATTACCAGTATTTTTTGGGGGGGAAATCATGCCCCTTAAAATGTGTGTTGGATGTTGAAATATACTCAGAGTCGCAAAGTGATTTCATGCTCTTTATTCAGCTCATAGTGGTGAGGAGGAATGAATGAATGTCCCCTCAAAGTATCTGCATTCTGAATCCTATTGTTCTAGGACCAATCAGACTGCTGCCTTTTGGATCCTATTGTTCTAGGACCAATCAGACTGCTGCAGTTTGGATCCTATTCAACTCAGTACATAACAGATGTGCTTGAAAAGTATGGTTTACACTGGAGTTTACTGTGTATGTGAACGGGGCTCCTTTTTTGAGGCACTGTCCTTCTGATGGAGCCTTCAATCAGTGCCCATCTCATTTCTTTTTAGCAGTGAATTCAGATTTCCTGTATCCTGGGATAATCTGAAAATTAGAATTAACCCTACTCCAAACTGCTGTTAATTGGTTACTGGATCCATCGCTGCCGTTCTTTTCCTTGGGGGCACGTCTGAATGTTCTCTTCTCCCACGCAGCTTTGCAAGCTCCCAGCATCCATTGTCGCTTCTCATTTGTTTTCTGGTACCCATACTTCTATGGGACGTGGGTGGCGCAGTGGGTTAAACCACAGAGCCTAGGACTTGCCGATCAGGTCGGCGGTTCGAATCCCTGCGACGGGGTGAGCTCCCGTTGCTCGGTCCCAGCTCCTGCCAACCTAGCAGTTCCAAAGCATGTCAAAGTGCATGTAGATAAATAGGTACCGCTCAGGTGGGAAGGTAAACGGTGTTTCCGTGCGCTGCTCTGGTTCGCCAGAAGCAGCTTAGTCATGCTGGCCACATGACCCCGAAGCTGTACGCCGGCTCCCTCGGCCAATAAAGCGAGATGAGCACCGCAACCCCAGAGTCGGTCACGACTGGACCTAATGGTCAGGGGTCCCTTTACCTTTACCTACCCATACTTCTGGCATGTGGTGAAAACATAAACACCGTTTTGTAACTTTATTCCTGTACCCTCTGGTTTGCGCACACGCAGAATTTCATACGACTGAGTTTCAAGCAAGTGTCTGGGAAGGTGACTGAAAAATAAATAAATCATAGGACTGTGGATTTGGAAGGAACCCTGAAAGTCATCTAATCCGACCCCTGCAATGCAGGGATCCTTGCTAAACAATCTTACTCACCCTCCGTCATTTTTTAAACCTCAGAGGTGTGCAATGAAGATCAACAAAGCAAGCAAATGACGTGAGATGTAGACTCAAGCTGACCTATAATCAGATCTCTGCTTCAGTGCTTATCTGAAGGAGGAAATTTAAAACAAGATCCATGCACATAAATAAATAGGTACCTGCACATACTCACTGGGGGGGGGTGTCAGTGAAACAAAAGAGTCGTTTATTTAAAAAAGGGGGGGGGAATGTGCAGGTAAACAGAAAGCTGTGCGTGTGCCCCTTTTGTACTGCCATGGTTCGGCGAATGGAATGAACTAGTCAGTGACCGTGCAGGGTTAAAAACACCTACTTGTATGCCAGGACATGAAACAATGGATTGGGTCAAATCCAAATATGCACATGTGGAAACTACTGAGATTGCTTTCGAACCGCAGGAATCTGGATTAGCGGTGAGGTAGGGCTCCATGATGAACCAGCCCAGAAAGAAACTGGTGTTTGTCTAGTGAAATAGATGAGAAGGAGGGAGGGATTGAGGGAGGAATGCAGGCTGTTTTGCTCCCTGGCACTTGACTTGCAGAGCCGGTTTTGGCTGCAGACAGGCAGAGAACCCTAATCTACCACTAAATCAGTCTGACCACAAGTTCAGTTCCTCCCTTTGCCCTACCCATATGCAGAGATGGGTATTCCATAAAGTGTATAAATGGAAATCCTTGCCCCCCCCCGCCACCTTGCATAATAGGTTCTCCATTATTACTGCATTTTCATCCCTCCTTTTCTTCAAGGAGGCATATGCAGTTCTCTTCTTTTTATCCTAATACGAACCCCGGGAGAAAAAGTGGAGAGAGACTAACAGATCCAAGCATAGCTGTCAACTTTTCCCTTTTCTTGCGAGGAATCCTATTCGGAATAAGGCAATTTCCCTTTAAAAAAGGAAAACGTTGACAGCTATGGATCCAAGGTCAGCCCGTGAGCTTCATGGTGCTGTGGGAATTTAAACTTGGATCTCCTTGGCCTTAGTTTGAAACTGTAACCATTATTCTACGCTAACTCCGTCTGCTAGTTTTCAGTAGCTATGCAGAGCACTGGGGCCAACTCACACATGGCAAACCTGCTGCGAATCATCCTCACACACCATACATTTAAAGAACGTGACTGCCCCTGGAGAATCCTGGGAAATATAGTTTGCCAAGGGTGCTGGGAATTGTAGTTCTGTGAAGGGCAAACTGCAGTTCCTATTTTTCCTAATTTTTTTTCAGGAGGGGGGATGCTCTTTCAATGTGGAGTTGCCCACACTCCAGGAAGCAGCTTTTCTTCGAGGGCTAGACGCTTGCCTTTCAATAAAGGACAACCGGGTTCCTTGACAATGCTAAATTCTGCAGAGTGTGGTTGCAAAAATTGCAAGATATATTAAGCCCCACTTATATACAAACGTATTTTGCATGCCGTTTTAGCTGACCTTAATTGGTGGGCCATAGAGCTGCAATTTCTGCCGTAACAACAACAACAACAACAATTTATTATTTATACCCCGCCCATCCGGCTGGGTTTCCCCAGCCACTCTGGGCGGTTCCCAACAGATTAAAAACAGAATAAAACATTAAAAACTTCCCTAAACAGGGCTGCCTTCAGATGTCTTCTAAAAGTCAGATACAGTGGTACCTCGGGTTACATACGCTTCAGGTTACAGACTCCCCTAACCCAGAAATAGTGCTTCAGGTTAAGAACTTTGCTTCAGGATGAGAACAGAAATCGTGCGGTGGTGGAGCGGCGGCGGCAGGAGGTCCCATTAGCTAAAGTGGTGCTTCAGGTTAAGAACAGTTTCAGGTTAAGTACAGACCTCTGGAGCGAATTAAGTACTTAACCCTAGGTACCACTGTAGTTGTTTATTTCCTTGACATCTGGCGGGAGGGCGTTCCACAGGACGGGCACCACTACCAAGAAGGCCCTCTGCCTGGTTCCCTGTAACCTCACATTTCTCAGTGAGGGAACCTCCAGAAGGCCCTCGGAGCCTTCTGTGGCAGGGGTGGCTAACTGGCTGCCCGCACGCCCTCCAAACAATTTCAAGAGCCCCTCCACATCAAAAGATCATCAACAATATGGTGTCTGGGGCAGCAGCACACACAAAACCTTTAATGAGCCACAGCCGCAGAGCTTCTCTCCCTCTGCGCCCTGCACTAAGCTGCTCTATCCTGCCTCTCTCGCACTGTCAGGGCGCTAAGCAATGGGGACCAGTGTTTGGGGAGACCATTGAAGCAGTAGCCCCAGATAAGCAGCAGGACTGCAGGCAGGTCCAACCTCCCACCCCAGTGGTGATAGTGGGAGGTGACACTTTGAGGAGGAAGTAGTGGTTCCCAAAGACATCCCTCACCTTTCCCAATGGGAAAGGTGAAGTGCGACAGATGGCAGCCCCATTGGGTCCCTCTGTGTGTGTGTTCCTGTCTGTGGGCGTGATAGTGTGTGAGAGAGAAAGAGAGGGGTGTGTGTTCTCCTTTCACCTTTGACACTCCTGCCCCCTTCCTTCCCAGGGCTCTCTCCAGTTCAACTGCTTCCCGGTGGCTCTCAGTGGGGAGTTGCATATCACGGCATTCACCCATCCCCACTATCAGTTTGCACAACCCTTGCGGAAGACCCACTCTGGGCCAGGTAAGTGCCTTTCTGGCCTGCTCTGGAAGTGAGCAGCTGAGGAAATGGAGCAGAGCAACCAACCAACCTCCAGGCCTTCCTTCTGTGTTTTCTTCCCACAGACTGCACCTGGCACAGAGCAAAAGATGCCATCCGCCTCTGCCAAGGTATGTAGCAATGCCACCGACTTCTTATCAGTGCCGCGGCCCTGACGCAGGCACCAGCCAGAGCCAGCCAAACTCCCTGTGGCTCGATTGATAGGGATCTGAGCTTCGTTCAAAACATTCTCACGGCGGCAACCTTTCCTAAGGCTAAAACCAACTCTTTTCTGGGTCAAAACCAAAGGTCCAACAAGGAAAGGGCTGAGGAACATTCCAGCCCTCAGGACAAATTTGGCCCAACCTGAGTCACAGTTAGGCCCGGAGACCACTTCCTGCAAACGGTGCCAGTCTGCTCCAAATCTGACATCCTTTGTCACATCAGGAGCAGGTTGGCTACACAACCAGGTTCCCTGTGCGGTCAATCTCTGCATATAGCAGGGTTAAAGCCAGGTGAGTTCAAGCCTGCTTTATCAACTGTGCAGATGAGTTTCCTGTGGGGAACTTGACCACACAGCCAATCCCTGTAAGAACCAGGTTTACCAGCCCAATGCTGGCAAAGCCCCTGGTTGGTTCCTAGGCAACCAACAACCAGCTGGTTGCCAGGTGCTTGGGAGGCACTTTGCCAGGACGTTGGCAGGCGATTGGGATAACTCACCTGTCCATCGTCTGATGTCATAGGGGCATCAGGTGATGGACAGGAGGGTTGTCCCAGCCACCTTGTTGTATCCAAGTAAATTCTACTCGCAGTTGGTCCAAATGGAGCTAACCTAGTCACATCCATTAATTTCATTGCTTCTACTCTGAGTAAAAGTGGAACAACACCTTGAATGAGGTCCAAAGTTTGTGTAGTGTAGCTTTCTGGTTTTCTGCATATTAAGGACTCATGTCCTAACCCTGATATGTTAACCTTCATACAGGCAAAGCAGTACCACGTAATTCAAATTTTATTAGTCAGGGGAAAGATGACTGTGCAAGAGTGGAATTTGGTGCGTATCCAGTGCGGGCTCTGGCATCCTGCTTTCAGAGAACCCCAGCTTTCATTCTTAAATAGCAAATTCATATTACTCACAATTGCAGACTCTGTAACATAAGAGTCCACACAGAGAGAAGTTTGAAAATGCCATGTCTGTGCTTGATGAGTACTTGGAAACGAATGTCCGTTTTGTAAAATGTGTCCTGTTTGCGTAATTTGGGAGTAACCTGCATGGAGCAGGTGAACTCTGCGAACTGGGACAGAGGTGCTTACAGGCACAGTTCCAGTGATTAAAGAAATGAACTGATATCTGTAAAATTTGTAACAGGGAAAGACGCTAATCCAGTTTGCGACCGCTGTGAAAAAGGCAAATCATTCTTATTGTTTATTGAATTTATATACTGCCCTTTACCTGGAGGTTTCAGTGTTGATCACAGAATAAAATCAAAATATAAAACAACAAAATACATAATCAAAATAAAAACAACAACCCAATAACCCCCCTCCCCCCCCAAAAAAACCTCCCACCACATTTAAAAAGGGCCTAGAATGTCAATCAAATCAACCGCAGGCCTGGTTTAAAAGGAACATTTTTGCCTGGCGGCTAAAGGTGTATAATGAAGGCGCCAGGCGAACTTCCCTGGGGAGAGCATTCCACAGACGGGGAGCCACTGCAGAGAAGGCCCCTTCTTGTGTTGCAACCCTCTGGACCTCTTGAGGAGGAGGCACATGAAGAAGGGTCTCGGAAGATGATCTCAGGGTCTGGGTAGGTTCATATAGAAAGAGGCGGTCCTTGAGGTACAGTGGTACCTCGGGTTACAAACACCTCAGGTTACAAACACTTCAGGTTACAGACTCCGCTAAGCCGGAAGTAGTACCTCGGGTAAAGAACTTTACCTCAGGATGAAAACAGAAATCGTGCGCCGGCGGCACGGTGGCAGCGGGAGGCCCCATTAGCTAAAGTGGTACCTTAGGTTATGAACAGTTTCAGGTTAAGAATGGACCTCTGGAAGGAATTAAGTTCGTAACCAGAGGTACCACTGTATTGTGGTCCTGAGCCGTTTGAGGCTTTATAGGTCAAAACCAGCACTTTGAATTGGGCCCAGAAACTAATTGGTAGCCAGTGCAGTCGGACCAGAATCGGTGTAATATGCTCAAACCGTCTTGCTCCTGGTGAGCAACTTGCCATTGAATTCTGCACTAGCTGAAGTTTCTGAACCACCTTCAGAGGCAGCCCTACGTATAACGCATTGCAGTTATCTAACCTTGGGGTTATCAGAGTATAGACAACGGTAGTTAGGCTATCCCTGTCATGAAGCTCCACCACTGGGCGTAGCTGGGCCACCAGCCGAAGCTGATGGAAGGCACTCCAGGCCACTGAGGCCACCTGAGCCTTGAGCGACAGCAAAGGATCCAGGAGTACCCCCAAGCTACAAACCTGCTCCTTCAGAGAAAGTGAACCAGGCAACCATCTGGTCTAGGCAGCCATCTGGTCTAGGGAACCACCCACTAACAGTGCCTCAGTCTTGTCTGGATTGAGCTTCAGTCTGTTGGTTCTCATCCAGTTCATTACTGAGGCAAGACACTGGTCCAGCACTTCCACTGCTGAGTGTCATCAACACGAGAGATCATTAGGAAAGGAATGAAAATAAAACTGCTGCTATCATAATGCCATTATACAAATCTGTGGTGCAACCACAGTTGTACAGTGTATACTTTTCTGGTCGTCTCACATCAAAAAGGATATTGCAATTGGAAAAGGTCCACCAAAAATAATAATAATAATAATAATAATAATAATAATAATAATAATAATAATAATAATAATAATCATCATCATCATCCATTTCAAAAATCTCAGAATGGTTTGCAATACATTGAAACATAAATAAAACAACCAAGGAGCCAGCTCAGCCCAGCGGTTCCATCGACCAACGTATTGCTTGGATCCTTCAATCACTTTCAGCGGTTTGAGACCCGTGGGTGCTGCCTGGCTTATAAATAAATAAATAAATAAATAAATAAATAAATAAATAAATAAATAAAAACAACCCAGAATAAAACATTACTGAATGAATTTAATATATATATTCAAAGCAACATAATTAAACTAAAATATTACCTTAAAGATTTCAAAATAAAATGTTACGAAGGAGTTCAAGTACAGAATGCACATTTAACGCGGAAATGTTAATGAAAAGAAATCTTAAACATTTCCAAATAAAACATGACTAAAGGAAGTCAAGTATAAGATGTGCATTTAAAACAGCGCAATTAACGAGAGAACAAGATATTATCACAAGCATATCAGCTGCTGTTGCTGCCAGTCCTCGTTATTAAATACTGTATACCAAGAAAAAAGCACACCAAGAACTCAGGCCAATGTAAGTTTTAATAGTGGGAGTGGTCCCTACTCACAATTCAATAGTCAATAGTAACAAAAACTAATCCATTCAAAAGTATGTATTCTAATGAAGATTACAAACTCAAATAGAGATTACAAACTCAAACTCAAAGAGATATGTATAACACAATAATTCGTTACAAAGATTTTCTCTTTTTCACTCGACAGTAATGTTGATCCTTATAATTTATCAGCTTGCAGATGGAGACTCAGTTTCAATCATAGAGCAGAAGTCAAATTATGGATTGGAAACAAGGACAGGGCCCTGTTTCGATGTATTCACCTTCATCAGCTACTGTAGATTCCGGCGTATAAGGCGACTTTTTAACCCCGGAAAAGAGGTTAACAAGTCGGGGGTCGTCTTATACGCTGGGTGTGGGTGGCGCAGAGCAGAGCCTGCCCCCCCCAGGTAACTGGGCTTATAAAACAAATCCCCAAATTGCAGCTGCTAATTTGGGGGGGTCGTCCAATACGCCCAGTCGCCTAATACACCGGAATCTACGGTAATTTTTAAGTTTGAAGTTTGAAGACTTTCGGATAAATATATGCACAGAAAAGCTCAAGATACACGTTGATTTACCCACACGTAGTTGTTATCCTTGAGAAACGTAGAAAATGGATAACAACTACATGTAATCTCTGTTAGAGTTTGTAATCTCTATTTGATTTTGTAATCTTTATTAGAACACATACTTTTGAATGGATTACTTTTTGTTACTATTGACTATTGAATTGGCCTGAGTGCTTGGTGTGCTTTTTTCTTGGTTGCTGCCAATCCTGCCAATGGTGGTTTATGGCGGGTGGCAGCCGTGGACTCTCAGATTCGATCTCCTGGGTCCACACTAAGAGCCAACCAAGATGAAGGAGATGAAGCGACTCCTCTGGGGGGAAAGGTTACAGAATTTGGGACTTCTTAGTTTAGAGAAAACTAAGCTTCGCTGGATGTCCACAATTTCTAGTGTTCTGCGAGAGGGATTAAAAAACAAATAGACCTCTACCCGCTTTCTCCATGCCACGAATAATTTTATAAACTTGTATCATGTCACCACTTAACTTGCTGTTTTCTCTAAAGTGTGAATTTATGTAACGTATTCATGGCCGCCTCCTCTCTCCTGCAGTGCCCAGACTGGAGGTCTCCAGGAAGTTAGACAAGGCAGTGCTGCATGTGTCGGACATCCCTGAGGCACAGCGCTTTTCCATGTGGCTGTATCTGAATCAGACGAATGCATTCAAAGAGCTGGGCGAGGGCGCACCTAAATTGCTGGTGAGCAGAAGAAGACTCCGCCAAGAAGCTGAGCTGAATGCTCTTCCTCCTCCTCCTCCTCATAAGAACCCCCAGAAAAGCAGAAGAGATAGGGGGTGGCGTTCTGTCTGGGAAGCCTAAATACTTACCTTGAGGGAACAATTGCCTTGGCCTGATGCTGTTTCAAACCCAAAAAGAGATGTGCAGTCAGTCATACATTTCACTAAATTTCTCATCCTAATGTTGTTGTTATAAGAAAAAACTGCTCCTTTCCCCTTATGGGGTATCTTACAGTCCTTAAGTGAGTTATTGGTAGGAGAAAATAACAGAGGCCAACCAGAGAAAATTGAGGCGCGAAAGCAGCTAGTAAGCCTGTCTTACTTAGAAGCGGCTTAGTCCTGCTGGCCACATGACCCGGAAGCTGTACGTCGGCTCCCTCGGCCAATAAAGCGAGATGAGCACCACAGCCCCAGAGTCGGCCATGACTGGACCTAATGGTCAGGGTCCCTTTACCTTTACCTTTTAAGCCTGTCTCCACTCACCACACGCAGGAGGGAGGAGAGAACCCTGAACGATGGTGCGCAAGCCCAAGACCAACCCCACAAAACATCATACATACATCACAGAAGGAGGCAGAAATCCTGTCTGCCAGGATCTGATAATCGTACCTGTTTGCATTACCTGGGCAGTCTGGCCATTCATTTGTGATGGTTAATACTTTAATTCCTGAATCCAGGTCACAGGCTCATCCTATTCATACACAAATACGCCCTTACCTTAAGACAGGTAAGCAAAAGGCAATGAAGAGGCTTGCCCATTTCCTTCCTCCTTGCAGAGAAATATTTGAGGTCAAAATGGTTTGGGAGAGTCAAAATGGCTTCAGGATTGCTCTTCTGTACTATTTCAGACACGTGGTTTATATACTTATGTATGTGTTTGCCTTGTACATTTATGAACGTTTATTTTATATTTGGGACCTTAGAATTCTTATAACAGTGTCTAGGGGCAGGAAGAATTTGAGACCAGGCAGGCTTTTTCTCTCTAAGCTGCTCTCACTCACGTCACTTCCCTGTCTTGTATTTAGACCGGAAACGAGAATGTGAGCTTGCCTATCGACCAGGTGTTACCCTGTCTCTGCATGGAGGTAAGGATTTTTACACACACCACAAAGTTTCCCCCCTTGCTATACACCCGATGCACATTTAACTTTAAATAAGTGTATGCCTTCCCCCAGAGAATCCTGGGAATGGTAGTTTATCCTTGCAGAGTCACAACACCCAACATTCCTAACTAACTACAGTTCCCAGGATTCTTTGCAGGAAGCCGGTCGCTTTCAGCATGCATTAAATGCGCGATGCAGTTGCAATGTTCTAAGCCATACCCTTCCTCACATTATGACAACAGTGGGAAACTTGTGTCCTCCAGATATTGTTGAACTACAGCTCCCATCACCCCTGAACCTTGGCCATGCTTGCTGGGGCTGATGGGAGAGCCACCAGGTTGATGGGAGGCGCAGGTTAATTCTGTGTCCAGGGCAGCTGTCTACCAGCTCCACCTGGTATGCAGGCTAAGACCCTACCTGCCCGCAGACTGTCTTGCCAGAGTGGTGCATGCTCTAGTTATCTCCCGCTTGGACTACTGCAACGCGCTCTACGTGGGGCTACCTTTGAAGGTGACCCGGAAACTGCAATTAATCCAGAATGCGGCAGCTAGACTGGTGACTGGGAGTGGCCACCGGGACCATATAACACCGGTCCTGAGAGATCTGCATTGGCTCCCAGTACGTTTCCGAGCACAATTCAAAGTGTTGGTGCTGACCTTTAAAGCCCTAAACGGCCTCGGTCCAGTATACCTGAAGGAGCGTCTCCACCCCCATCGTTCAGCCCGGACACTGAGATCCAGCGCCGAGGGCCTTCTGGCGGTTCCCTCATTGCGAGAAGTAAGGTTACAGGGAACCAGACAGAGGGCCTTCTCGGTAGTGGCGCCTGCCCTGTGGAACGCCCTCCCACCAGATGTCAAAGCGATAAACAGCTATTTTACTTTTAAAAGACAACTGAAGGCAGCCCTCTTTAGGGAAGTTTTTAATGTCTGATGCTGTACTGTTTTTAATATTCAGTTGGAAGCCGCCCAGAGTGGCTGGGGAAACCCAGCCAGATGGGCGGGGTATAAATAAAAATTTATTATTATTATATTATTATTATTACCAGATTGCCGCCCAGCACTGTCACCTGCGACAAGTTTGATTTGACTATGGCCCAGCTGCTGATGTCCTAAAATAGTGGGTTAAGGTTTAAGTCTGACTAGAACCCTGATTTTTTAACAGAATTTTAATCCCAGTTTTCATACATGAATCATTTCACATAGCAATTTATCAGAGTAAGTCCTTATACTTTTTTTTTTTTTTTTTGCAATTTCTTCATGAGTAAGAGCGTTTTTGGAATACCTCAGACCTGGTGGTGCAAGTCCCTAAATGGTGCACTGGTTTGAGCCGTGGTTATTTCCAGGACTTAAGGGCTGGTTTACAAGTTACAGTCTTACCTTGGTTCTCGAACGGAATCCGTTCCGGAAGTCAGTTCGACTTCCCGAAAACGTTTGAAAACCAAAGCACGGCTTCCGATTGGCTGCAGGACTTTCCTGCACTCAATTGGAAGCTGCGGAAGCTGCGTCGGATGTTCAGCTCCCAAAAAAAGTTCACAAACCAGAACACTCGCTTCCGAGTTTGCAGCATTCTGGAGCCAAAACGTTTGAGTCACAAGGCACTCAAAAACCAAGGTACGACTGTACTTTCACCCAAATGGCCTTGAGAACAAGCGTAATGGCTGAGAACACCATGTGGTAAGCTGCATGTGCATAGCCATTCACCAAGTGATTTCTCTCCCCGCCCCCATCACACACACGGCTGCACATCTTCCTCGCATTTGGCCTCTTATTCTATTGGGTATTGTGTTCATAGGTCTGGCCCAACGTCGGAAGCCAAGAAGATTCGCCCCGAACTCACCTGTGCCCCTTTTCAAGCGGTATGCGTTTTTTTAAAAAAAATCCATTCCACATCAGACCCAGGATTTCAAAAAGTGAAAATGTTAGCATTAACTTGGGGTGTGTTCTTCTGGGCCAGTCATACCATTAGGCAGAAGGGAACATCTACCTCAGGTGGCAGGAAGCCACTGAAGTGCAGGGAGTCTCAAGGTGGTGTTGAAGGTCTCGTGTGTGTGTGTGTCTCAGGTAGACTTCTTTCTGTCGCCTGCCCTAGGCCTACCTGTTACCATCAAGTGTGGTGAGGGATGCTGGCCAAAGCAGGATTTAGCAGGCATCTTTTTGTACCAAGTGTGGGGAGAAGGGGGCGTGTTTGACATCTTGTTGTTCACCTCAGGCAGCAAACTGTCCTAGACCATCCCTGAACATGTTGACAGAGGAGGACTTGCCATGGTTATGTGTACTTTGGGAGGGAGAGTGGAGAGTATGTATGAATGACATTCTCACCTGTTATTACAAAGACTTGACTTCCTGTTCCAGATGCTGAGGCCTTGTCCAGGGCCTGGAAACAGAGCCATCTGAAACTTAAAGCCTTTGAGGGGACGCTGACCTGCTCTCTCTCAGCACCGTGCGACCTCCCAGGGGAGCTGGTTCCCTGCTGGAGGGGGGCACCCGATGCCTCTTGCCACCCACTGCACCCCCAGCTGAACCTGGCCCTCACCCCACAAGTGAGTAGGGCAAGGAGCAAGTGGGGTGGGGAAAGGAGAAGTGGACCAGATGGCAAGTGTGGATTGTGTGGAGTCCAGTAAGTCTCCAGACCCTCCAAAATTCTTCCAATGAAAATAGGGACATCCTATTCAATAATAATAATAATAATAATAATAATAATAATACCCCACCAATCTGACTGGGTTGCCCTAGCCACTCTGGGCAGCTTCCAACATATGTAAAAACACAATAAAACATAAAACATTTTAAAAAATACTTCCCTATACAGGGCTGCTTGCAGATGTCTTCTAAAGGCTGGATAGTTACTTATCTGCGTGGCTCTCAGGGGTCCATACACTCGGATGAAAATACAGTGGTACCTTGGGTTAAGAACTTAATTCGTTCTGGAGGTCCGTTCTTAACCGGAAACTGTTCTTAACCTGAGGTACCACTTTAGCTAATGGGGCCTCCTGCTGCCGTCGTGCTGCTGCCGTGCTATTTCTGTTCTTATCCTGAAGCAAAGTTATTAACCCGAGGTACTATTTCTGGGTTAGCGGAGTCTGTAACCTGAAGTGTCTGTAACCCGAGGTACCACTGTAGGGACATCCAAGATGAGCGCCACAACCCCAGAGTCATCCATGACTGGACCTAACGGTCAGGGGTCCCTTTACCTTTTTAAGGCCTTTACCTTTACCTTTAAGGCAAAGCAGGACATTCTGGGATCAAATCAGAAACCGGGATGGCTTCTGTAAAACCCTGGAAAATAAGAGGACACCTGGAGGGTCTATGATTCAGCCTGCTTATGTGATGTAGACACAATCAATTAAATATCCGGCACATGGCCCCTTTAAGTGAAAAGGTGGTGGTGACCCAGGAGGCCAGTTGTTGGAGAACTAAGTCGGAGGTATGGCCTGGATGGGAAGGTTGGAGTTACTATTTTGTGCAGGCTCCCGGGCCTCAGAAAGAAAGAAGAGTGTTTGACTTGCCATTAACTTGGCTTGCAGTGAGTTCCTAGTGAGAAGTCTTGTCACTTGCAGAGGGCTTTCGAGCTCAGGCTGAGGACCACATCAGCCCCAGAGCTGCAGATCGCCCACCTGCGTTCTGTGGAAATGTGGACATTCTGGGACATCTACGTGTTACAGCTGGGATGGGGGAGCCTGGCGCCCTCCAGTTGTCCTGGGACGACTACCCCCCTGACTATTGGCCCTGCCAGTTGGGGCTGATAGGAGTTGGAGTCCAACAACATTATAGGGCCCCTGGTTCCCCATTCCTGTGTTACGGGACTGTGGTGTGCTGGGATAAGAAGCAGCCCTTCAAACCAAGAGCATCTGACAGCAGGCCTGAAGCGTGAGGGGTCTGAGGCATTTGCACAGAGTTCCCTTCCGATGGGGAGTGGCTGGGTTGGTGGTGAAGACATGGGCACGGATGGATGTGCAAGTGAGCTGTGAGTTTTGTGACTGTAAGAAACTCTTCCCAAACCTCTTAGGTGCCGCAGGAGTTCCCAGGACTGACACCCCACCCCAACCTCTGTGTGCAGGTAGGACCCACGTAATTCACAATCCACGTAATTACAATCCATTCAAGAACAATGGCTAAGCCTCTATTGTCCAGCTTCCTGCGGTCCTGCATAATGTTGGCCTGCTGTCTTAAGGCATTTTGAAAGTCAGAATTGGGCTCCTCTTTCACTGTTCTTACCTGGAGCTCATTTTTTATAGTGACCTGCAGAGAAAGAGACCAAAGAGAATTTCCTTAATAGAGTGATTCCTTCAGGTGGCAAAGGTGTAATGGTGGTTGGTCAGCCATGGGGACTGGTAGGGGGGCAGAAGGCAGGGAGACCAATAGGAGGTGATGCCAAAGAGCCAATGACAGGCAGGGCCACCTGCTTCTAGTTTTGCCCCCAATCTCCTCCCTGCATGGGTCTACAAGGACAGAACTGAACCGAGGAGGAGGAGGAAGCTGTCATCCCCCTGGACTATTTCTAAGCAGGCAGATCTGCAGATCAGGGGGCTGACGGAGGCAGAATGAGTTTGATAGGGCAGTGTCCTGTTCACTTTAATTGCCAACCTCTGCTGTAAAGGTGGCCTGATCTCTCCAGCTCCTGTCTTCAATTTCCTTATCACAAAATGTCCAGTCAGGGTATATGGGGGGAGAGAAGTTTTTTGCTGCGCAAGATTTCCAAATTGTGCAACCTGAATTTGCCAGTATGTTACTGAGCTCCACCTGAAAATAGTGACAGTCTGGAAGTCCCTCTCTGTTTCCATTTTCCATTGGGGCTGGGTCCTAAGGTGCTACCGTGTAAATGGAGGCCATACGTTTATTGAATCAATTTAGGACTGTGGTGGTGTTCGCCTTGGGAAGAAGGAAAGGCAAGTGGCCTGTTTTCTTGTTATCTCTTTTGTACGGATTCTTTTTCAGTGAGATACAGTGGTACCTTGGTTCTCAACAGCTTTGGTACTCAAACAACTTGGAACCCAAACACCGCAAACCTGGAAGTAAGTGTTCTGGTTTGCAATTTTTTTTCAGAAGCTGAACATGCTCCATTTTGAGTGTTACGCTTCCAATTTGAGTGTTATGCTTCTGATTTGAGTGCCACACTTCCACTTTGAGTGTTACGCTGAGGTCTGTCTGTTTTTGCTATTTATTTGTGTTTTTGCTTTTGTGGCTCTTTTTTTGTGAATGTGTGGAACTCAGTTCAACTACTGATTGATTGATTGATTGATGATTGATTGTGTGACTGCAGTACATTTTTTATTGCTTTCATTTGATGGATCAGTGGTCTCATTAGATAGTAAAATTCATGTTAAATTGCTGTTTTAGGGGTTGTTTTTAAAAGTCTGGAACGGATTAATCCGTTTTGCATTACTTTCTATGGGAAAGCGCGCCTTGGTTTTGGAACGCTTTGGTTTTGGAACGGACTTCCGGTACAGATTAAGTTTGAGAACCAAGGAACCACTGTACTTAAAAGCAGAAAACTCAGGTTGGGTTAGAAGAACAGGCCCGCATGAAATTGCCTTCTACCAAGTAAAACCATTGATGCATCTAGTTCAGTGTTGGCTTCACTGCTAGCAGCAGCATCCCAGGATTTCAGGCAGGTGTATTTACCTAGCTCTGCTTGGGGATGCCAGGGATTGAACCCAGCTCTGCCGCTGAACGACAGACCTGCAATTTAGTACACAGCTAGATCTTACATGTCTAACCACTTTAGGTCCATGTGATATACTTTCAAGGCAAAGTGTGTGTGAATTGCAGGATTAAGCCTAGTGGATGAGAAATGCCATAACTTCAAAGTGCCTTCAGGCTTCAAATCTAGAACTTGAAGCTTTGGTTAGAAGCGGCAGCAACTGATATCGCAGAGGCACGGCCCTGTTTGTCACAGCCTCCCTCTGGTGTCATGTGCCTGAAGTCACGCCCGTGGATTTTCCTTTTTGCGACTTCGATATACAACAAGTTGTTACTGCTTTGATCTCAAAGAATGAAGGAGGGAGCGCAATCCAGATAAAAGAAGGATGTCTGGTCGCGTGGGTTTCAATGGGAGAATTAAGCCCATGTGCCAAAGTCTTTCAAATCTGCCTTAGCCTTCCATTTCTGGCTAGGTGCATCCAGGAAAATCTCAAGGGCATGACAGGACCTCCTACTGACCCATGCTTTCCCTTTGTGCAGGTCAGGAGCAACGGAAACACCTACCTCCAAAGCTGCCTGCAGGAAGGTGAGTGCCACAGTGGTCTATGAGCACCAGACTAGACTAGACTAGAGGTATTTAACATACATCTGAATGGCAGTGACTGGGAATGGAAGGCTTCTTGTGCTCATGTCCAGTTTGCAGGCTAGATGGGCCTTGGAGGCTCTTCTTATATTCTCCAGGAGGCTCTTCTTATATTCTCTCTCCTCCCCCCCCCCATAATTTTTATTGATTTTCATACAATTTAACAAAATTCAGTTCTATTTCAATACAATATTCCCTTAACGTTTTGACTTCGCGTCCTTACTTCCATCACGTTTCTGTTCAAATCCTGTATCAGCTGCCTTAAATGTAATACTTATTTCTATAACCTATATCCTACATTAACATTCCTTTTATCATTCTCCTTCCTCTGCTTATACAGTGGACACTCGGGTTACGAACGTGATCTGTGTGGGAAGCACGTTCACTACCTGCAGCGCCGCATCTGTGCATGTGCGGGTTGCCATTCGGCGTTTCTGCGCATGCACAACATGCGATTTAGCGCTTCTGCACATGTGCCGAAACCCAGAAGTAACCTGTTCCGGTACTTCCGGGTTCGGTGCAGTGCGCAACCCGAAATTGCGCAATCTGAAGCGTCTGTAACCCGAGGTATGACTGTATTTCAAGTCCTGCCTGCGATTTCCATTTGACTATCAGAGCTCTTCTCATATATTCCCAAGAACAGAGATGAGATCCGTGGACTGATCCTGCGGCCAAGCTTTCCATTGAAGCTTTCCTTTCTCTTCCCCTAGATACCGCAGAAAGCCCTTGGCAAACCAAGCAACATGTGCTGCTTCGGAAGACTGAGCATTCCCAAGGGAGCTCTTCTACACATGTCTTTGAGGAGGGTACCTGGGTCCCCATCGCTCAAGCTGCCAGCACAGTAAGTCCTGGACTGCCACTCTTTTCCCCCTCCTGCTATGGTTCAGATGCTGTTCTATAGGGTGGAGGTGGGGGGTGTAGCTGTGCAGCACTCACTGCATTTTCTTTTCCCTGTTCTCCACAGGGAAAGGGGATTCTGGAGGTCGCCCTGCAGAGGGACTTGCAGTCAGGAGAGTGCACCAAGGTGAGAGCGGGGACGAGTTTCAGGAAGAGGGAGGGCATGCCTTTAGGAATTGCCACATGTTGTATGGTGTCGAGCTTGTTAGAATTCCTGCTCCGTGATTGCAGTTATGGGATTTTTGTCTATCACATGGATGGTGTATGTTTTGACTCTCACAGAATACTGAGCCTGGAGGTTCTTTGTAATTAGTTTTGCAATTTTCTTCTCCCCTGATGGAGTCACTGGAAACATTGTTCTGCTACTCTTGTTAGTCATTGGCTAATGACTAATTGCTCCAGCTGTATCAATTAGGGGGGCCACATTGTAGTGCTCCGTGTGTGTTTATACATAAATAAAGTAGATTAGCCAAAATGCTGAGTTGCTGAGGTCTGTCAGGCAAGCTGCGAAGACTCTGCGGATCCCTAAGTTTGCCGATGTCTGTTGGCATCGGTCGCTGTGATGTTTGGGCTGAAGAAAGCTTTTGAAGCTCCCGAATGATCGACCAGGAGGGAGAGAACATGCCAGTTGGGCATGTGTCTCTACCAGGGTCCTACTCGAGTGTAGGACGAGCTCCTGAGAGAGCTGACTCCTCCAGAAGACCTATTGAATGAGCACACATCATGATTTGCTTGCACAGAGACTGTCTTGGATGCTTTAGATGAGATTCCTGTGTGGCAGGGGGGTTGGACTAGATCACCCTTGGGAGCCTTTCCAACTGTACAGTTCTCTGATTCTATAACCCTTTGGACCAATGGTTCTTATTGTGAGCATGTTCTGCAACATGTCATGGACTCCATCCTAGTGCATTCATGATGGATTTATAGTGCACCTTCCACAGAGCATTGGCTGGTGCTTCTTTCCCAGTGTTATCACATTACTGCCACCAGGAGGGCTGCTCTTGCACTAGGTAAAGGTAAAGGTACCCCTGACCATTAGGTCCAGTCGCGGACAACTATCGGGGTTTCAGTGCTCATCTCACTCTATAGGCCGAGGGAGCCGGCATTTGTCCACAAACAGCTTCCGGGTCATGCGGCCAGCATGACTAAGCTGCTTCTGGCGAACCAGAGCAGAGCACAGAAACGCCATTTACCTTCCCGCCGGAGTGGTACCTATTTATCTACTTGCACTTTGATGTGCTTTCGAGCTGCTATGTTGGTGGGAGCTGGGACCGAGCAATGGGAGCTCACCCAGTTGCGGGGATTCGAAACGCCAACCTTCTGATCGGCAATCCCTAGGCTCTGTGGTTTAGACCACAGCGCCACCCGTGTCACTGTGTAACTCTTGCACTAGAGTGTAACAAAAACGGGACTCGCCCATGTCAGGCATTTGTGGTATAAAAAGTTACAGCAGAAAATCATGGGATGCACACTGATTGGAAACTGTATGCCTGCCCTGTAACTTCTGCAGGCTCAAAAGAGTGTTGAAAGCAGGATTGCACATAAACCACCATGAATGCATGATGATCAGGATGCCTGGAGGGATCCTCTGTCTGGTCTTGATTAAGCATTTGTTCATATTTGTCTTGGGGCGGTCTTATGACAGCGAGCATTCGTTCAGATTGACACGTCTTCCCACGAGTCATTCGTTCACCCCCCACTTTTCAGTGCATCTCCACATCACTTTTCAAACCACAAAAAACCTGTTTGTTTTTTAAGTGGATTTGCAGCACAAGAGAGGCAGAGTGCTTTAATCCACCTTTAATTGTGCAAACTGAAATTTCCCAGCGTGTGCTTGAAACCCTCTCACAGAATGCTGAGAGTCTGGAGGCTCTTTGTAATTAGTTTTGCCATTTTCTTCTCCCGTGATGGAGTCACTGGAAACATTGTTCTGTTACTCTTGTTAGTCATTGGCTAATTGCTCCATCTGTATCATTCTTTATAAAAGCACCTTGTTCCTTTTAGGTATTTTAATGCATACTTTGGCACTCTTTAGAAACATCTGGTTTGTGAGGTTATCTTAAACACACACTGGTTTAATGGTTGATCATATGACAAAGGCTTTGGGACGTGAACACAGCTTGGGACATGGCTGTAGGTGTGCAGAAAACCTGTTTGCCATCTTATCTACATCAGGGACAGAGATTCCCTGGCTTTATACTGGTGCAGTAGCCGCCGAATCCTATGCCCACTTTGTTCAGAACAACAGTGGGGAATTGCACTGCTCCAAAAACTACCACCCCACCATAGAGGTGTGCTCTTAGCAGAGAGGCAGCCTTGCATTGAGCAGCCTCTTGCTAAGAAAGGGAAACTCTGAAGGCATGGAACAATTTGGCTGGCGGTCAACTCAATCCACACCTTCAAGAGCTTCCAAGCAGAAGGGCTGTCCAGAGCTGTGCAGCCTCGCTGAGAAAGGAGAGCTTTGGAAGGCAGAGGTTGGGCTAGCCCTGTTAGAATTCCTGCTCCATGGTTGCAGTCATGGGATTGTTGTCTATCACATGACGGTATATGTTTTGACTCCACAGAGTGGGAAGTGACAGAGACAGGATGTTTGTGTTACTATGTTCCATGAAGTGGGGCTGTTGTCCTTTGTTCTTTTTTTCTCTTTGCTGTCTGATGCTAGAGAGAGAAGGAGCCATGTTGCAGTACTCCGTGTGTGTTTATATGTAAATAAAGTAGATTAGCCAAAATGCTGAGTTGCTGAGGTCTGTCACGCAAACTGCGAAGACTCTGCGGATCCTTAAGTGTGACGATGTCTGTTGGCAATCGCCGCTGTGATGTTCGGGCTGAAGAAAGCTTTTGAAGCTCCCGAACAATCGACCAGGAGGGAGAGAACATGCCAGTCGGGCATGTGTCTCTGTCAGGGTCCTACTCAAGCTCCTGACAAACCCATGCATAGGCAAACTCGGCCCTCCAGATGTTTTGGGACTACAACTCCCATGATCCCTAGCTAACAGGACCAGTGGTCAAGGATGATGGGACCTGTAGTCCCAAAGCATCTGGAGGGCCGAGTTTGCCTTTGCCTGGGCTAGCGCCTGCCAACCAACCCAGTCTGTGCCTTTAAAATCCTCAGTTGGGCAGGCTTTTACACTCTGGGCATCTTCCTAGCCCGAGAAGAGGGAGGTTTGAAGGCCACACACCCCACTCCCACAACCCAAAGTTTATTTGCCGGTCCAAACTTATATCATCTATTCCAATACATCCCTTGTGGAGGCTGTATCTCCTAAACAGACACATGGAGAAAGAGGAAGCAGAAATATTTCTTGCTAACTATTCATGGCTGCCGGTGGCAGTGGCACGCAGTGACATTTTTCTTAGGAGAACGAGGCCAGAGGCACCAGCTTGCAAGGGTGATTGTGAGTGTCACACTTCCCTGCCTAAGCCAGGCAGAAGCTGCCCGGGCTTTGGGAAGGAGGCACAGGATACTCCTTCCAAAGATGGGATGGCTTTGGGGAAGTGGTGGGAGGGCTCTTGGAGCCTTTAGGGGACTAGCCTGGTCCCCCTACTCCAATGACCACATGCTGCTGGCTGGTGGTTGAAGTAACGGGACTCAGCCATGGGACACAATCTGAGGTGAGCCAGGAGCTGTGCAAGGAAGTCACAACTGAAGGACTAGCAGGATCAAGATGCAAGCCAGAAGTCAGGACTAAAGGGATACAGGAACACGCCAGAAGATCCAGTTGGTCAAGGAAGGCTTATCTGGAACAGGAAGCCCTCTTATGCTGCTTCCTGCTGAGGGGATCCAATCATCATCCTGGGTGTGGTCAAGCCTGGGCTTGAAGATAATAAGCTGCCCACTCAGAGGCTGTGATGTGTAGTTTGCTGGTTCATTGTACAGGTATCTTTGTACTCCAAAGCTCCCAGTTCAAGGGCATCCTAAGGATTATGATGGATGGCTGTCCTAGGCATCTTGGTGAATTGCATTTGATGTACAGTCGTAACTTGAAAGTCAAACGGAATCCCTTCCGGAAGAGCTTTTGACTTCCAAAACATTCAGAAACCAAAACGCGGCTTCTGATTGGCTGCAGGAAACTCCTGCAGCCAATTGGACGCCACGGAAGCTCCATCGGACATTCGGCTTCCGGTTTTCGATTGTTCGGGAGCTGATTTGTTCAGGAGCCAAGTCGTTTGAGACCAAGGTACGGCTGTATTTCATTTATAACCAGTGCTGGAACAATCCCCTTAGAGATGTAACCTCCTCCTTTGGGCATTGTTCAGTAAAAGGTTGGGAGCTCCTGTAGTGTGGTAGCCAATAGATTTCCTCACCTATTAATGGGCTCAGTAAGTGGCCTTGAGCTAGTTGCAACTCGTTTGCAGCATGGTGCAATAATAATTCAGTGCCTTGCAGAGGTTGCTGTAAGCATTGCTGATGTGTGAAGTGCTTTAAATGCTCCAGACCTGGGGTGGCTAACCTGTGGTCCTCTGGCTGGACTACAACTCCCATCAACCCCAGCCAACATGGTCCAGAATGATGGGAGTTGTAGTTCAGCAACATCTGGAAGGCCACATGCATAACTTCCACACAAACCAATGAGGACACACTTTCAATAAACAGAGGTTGTTATATATAACCTCCCCGCAAACAAGACAGCGCTTCCGCTCAATTAAGAGCGGACCTTGTATATTACCTCCAAGATTTTGTGTAAACAAATTGGGATGAATGCTTAATAAACATTCATTTCCAGAAGTGGAAGTGGCCTAAGATAGTTGCCAGGCGCTAGCTGTGTGACTCTGTGTTCCCAGGCAAACAAGACCATGAGCCAGCTGTTCTTTTATCATTGTTTACAGGTATGGCGTTCAGAGGATGGTGAGAACCACGAGCTCTGGGCCTGTTCACTGGAGAAGTGTGAGTGCACCTGTGTCTGGGGCAACAGGGATGCCTCCTTGGAGGAGAGGTGACCTTGAATTCCTACAAGGGCAAGTGGGGAATAGAGGTTGCACAGGGATTTATTTATTTATTTATTTAGACCATTTCTATACCACTTCATATCTAAAAATCAGTTTTAATGGGGTAAGGTAAAGGTAAAGGGACCCCTGACCATCAGGTCCAGTCGTGGCTGACTCTGGGGTTGCGGCGCTCATCTTGCTTTATTGGCCGAGGGAGCCGGCGTACAGCTTCCGGGTCATGTGGCTAGCATGACTAAGCCGCTTCTGGCGAACCAGAGCAGCGTACGGAAACGCCGTTTTCCTTCCCGCTGGAGCGGTACCTATTTATCTACTTGCACTTTGACGTGCTTTTGAACTGCTAGGTTGGCAGGAGCAGGGACTGAGCAACGGGAGCTCACTCCATCGCGGGGATTCAAACTGCCGACCTTCGGATCGGCAAGTCCTAGGCTCTGTGGTTTAACCCACAGCGCCACCCTCATCCCTTATAGTGGGATACAGAAAGCTAATAATAATAATAATAATAATAATAATAATAATAATAATAATAATAATAATAAATTTATTATTTATACCCCACCCATCTGGCTGAGTTTCCCCAGCCGCTCTGGGCAGGTTACAGCATATCTAAAAACATAGTAAGAACATCAAGCATTAAAAACCTCCCTGATACAGGGCTGCCTTCAGATGTCTCCTAAAAGCTGTGTAATTCTTTATCTCCTGACATCTGAAGGGAGCGCATTCCGCGAGGAGGGTGTCAATACCTAGAAGGCCGTCCCACTGCCTGGTTGCTAAAGCAACAGCTGTCACAAAAACACACGACAAAACCATTAACACAAATTACTAACAGATGTAAACAGCAATCCCTTCTCCTTCTGACACACCTTCCCACTCAATTCCTCTCTGCTTTCTGGCTCTCGCCCAGAGCTCCACCTGGGCTGTTGCCCTGGGCTCAAACAAACTCCCCCCCCCAATGTCACAACAAAGAGGATTCCTGGAACCTGCTGGCAACATCCTAGACGTTTGCTCCAGGCTCGCTTTTATTGGCAGCCATGAATCAGGATGCACCATACAGAACCAGTTCCAGGCTATATCAGCTTTGGTTGGATGACTTTCCCAGGAGCTTCCAAAGGATGACAACTGGGACGCCTCTCCACTCAGAGTTCTTTCTCTGCCCTTTGCCGCCCCCCACCCTGCTCCTCTTCCAGCTGCTTGCATAGCTTGAAGAACACAAACCCCAGTTTGTGGGAGGTGGAGGAGGATGTAGCCATTGGATATTCACTAAACAAACCACACGACTAAGGGCTCATCCATACTTGTCCCTGTGCCTTGAAAGCATGTGTCCAAATGGTTTCCGCTCCTTTCCAAGGAAAAAACCTGCTCTTTAGTGCTAAATTGGAGCAAACGTCCATCCAGAGAAAACCCGGATCGCTGTTTGCTCCGATTGAGCACTGAAGAGCAGCTTTCCCCAGGAGAAAGCAGCAGGGCAAGGAGAAGTATGGATAAGCTCTCTCTCTCTCTTCAAGCCTGATAGGGTTGTTGACTTGGTCCCCAATTCCAGCGAGACAAGCACAGTACTTAAAGACTACATCTGGACTGGGAGGCTGCATTCTTCAGTCTTAAAACCATTGGGTGCAGGAGAAATTGCCAGCCACTGAGCAGAGGGTGAAAGGGCCACGCGTTGCAGGAATAGGAATCAAAGATCACCCAATGATTCCTTCTCCCCTCCATGCTTTTCATGCAGATTTCCGAAGACGCTGGGCCCTGGCCTGGATGATGGCTCTCCTGGGCTCCTGCTCTATCCTGCTCGTGCTGCTGCTCAAGAAAGAAGCACTGAAAGGTACAAGGCAGACTTTCTGTGGCTCCCAATGCGCTACCCTCAATGGTTGCTTATCGCTTTTGATCTATCTCCTGTATTCTCCACAGTCATCCCAGCTTCTGCTTCACCCGCTGTGATATTATGAGCCTGCCTTACCTCTCCAACAGGGATGGATGAATCTTTTATCAGTTCCTCTCCAGCTCCTTGTTTTTCTAGTATTAATTCCCATACACCATATTTCCACATCACAGAAATTCACCAGCATTGCCATGTGCATTTCTCCTACTGCACACATATTTGTATGCAGTTTGGCCTAAAATATGTATGATTGCAAGCCCTACTTGCCAGTGGGGTGTGGTGGTTAAGAGCGGTAGACTCGTAATCTGGTGAACCGGGTTCGCGTCCTCGCTCCTCCACATGCAGCTGCTGGGTGACCTTGGGCCAGTCACACTTCTCTGAAGTCTCTCAGCCCCACTCACATCACAGAGTGTTTGTTGTGAGGGAGGAAGGGAAAGGAGAATGTTAGCCGCTTTCAGACTCCTTAAAGGTAAAGGGACCCCTGACCGTTAGGTCCAGTTGTGGCTGACTCTGGGGTTGCGGCGCTCATCTCGCTTTATTGGCCGAGAGAGCCGGCGTACAGCTTCCGGGTCATGTGGCCAGCATGGCTAAGTCGCTTCTGGCGAACCAGAGCAGCGCACGGAAATGCCGTTTACCTTCCCGCCGGAGTGGTACCTATTTATCTACTTGCACTTTGACGTGCTTTCGAACTGTTAGGTTGGCAGGAGCAGGGACCGAGCAACGGGAGCTCATCCCGTCACGGGGATTCGAACCGCCGACCTTCTGATCGGCAAGTCCTAGGCTCTGTGGACTCCTTAGGGTAGTGATAAAGCGGGATATCAAATCCAAACTCTTCTTCTTCTCTACTAGAATGCACCACAAAATTCAGAGAAGCGTGAGTTTTGAAGGATAGCCATGTTTTGGTTCTCATGCGAATGGAGCCAAATTTCTCCCCCCTCCCTGATTTCTCCAACCTTCTAAGGCTGTGCTTTCTTCAGCACTTCCCTGCTGCCTTGCAATCAGCTGGGAGGAGAGCGCCCTCTTCTGACCCCTCCTGTAACATAGCAGTGTCATTTACAGAAGAAAGCATTAAAAAGTGTTATACCCTAAGGGCGGTCTTATGCATTCTTACAGATTAAAATGCTACCAGTTTATGTAGCCCCTTCACTCTGTTCCTTTCTGTGGCATGTCATGACTCAGAGGTGTTTTCTTTTCATGCATGCTGTCCTCTTGACTGAAGAGCTCTCTCTGACATCCCTTTCCCCCCACAGGGTGGCTCAGGATCCTGAAAGAAGATTACAGTTCTGGAGGTAAGACAACAAAGGGTCTCATAGCATGTAAAGACTAGCAAATACAGTTTGGTGTCAGCTTTCATGGATTAGAGTCCACTTCTTCAGATGCACGAAGTGTTATTCTCAGCTGGTGTTATCACACATGGGTAAAGAAGGAAAGAAACAATAGTTCAAAGTGGTGTTGAACGGCAATTAAATGCGAAAGGGGCAGCCTGGAACAATTCACCTAGAGCTGTTATGTTTGCAAAGTCAGCCCAGTGACCCTTCACGAGAGCAGTGATAAGTGGTTGTGCAATTTACTAAGTAAATTAATATTTGTAGTGGGAACAGGAGAGCATTGTCTCCACCCAAACATTGATAGAATTCCAGGAAGGCGCATGGTAGGGCCAGAGAGAGGAGAGTCCCGAGGGCCATAGATAAGAGTTCTGGAGGGCCGCATTCTCCAATAGAAAAAGAGAGCGTTTGACGATTGTTTGAGAGTTAGGATGAGAAGTTTGGCCTTGGACATGCTGAACTTTGGAATGGCAATGTGCACAAGTACCTGGTCATTATCTACGGAACACCAAGCCGTGGACAAACGCCCTCTCTCTTTCTTCTCTGCCAGGAGTGCTTCGGGGACGGCACATCCTCGTTCTCTACTCTCCCGACCACGCTGGCTTTGAGCGCCTGGTGGGCACCCTGGCTGGCGCACTGGCCCGGCTGCAGCTGACTGTATCCCTGGAGCTGTGGAGCCGCGGGGAGCTGAGATCCCTGGGGCCCATGCAGTGGCTTCATGCTCAGCGGCACCGGGTCCTGCAAGAAGGCGGAGCCGTTGTGCTGCTTTTTTCCCGCGGCGCCAGAGCTGCTTGCTCGGAGTGGCTGGGTTGGGAGCATCAAGACAGGCTGCCGGCCGCCAAGCCCGACAGCACTTTCTTGGCCTCTCTGAACTGCATCCTGCCAGACTTCCTGGCTGGGAAATCCAGGGACCGGTATATGGTCGCCTGCTTTGAGGAGCTCTTCCCTGCAGACCAGATCCCTGCGCTTTTCCGTTCGGCGCCTGTCTACTCTCTGCCGTCACAGCTCTTCAACTTCCTGCTAGCTCTGGCTGGCCCCGGTGTGGGCCAGGAGAAGAGGAACAGCCTCAGGAGACACGCGGTGTGGATCAGCAAGTGTCTGGAGGACGCGGTGCGGGACTGCCGGGAAAAGGAGCCGAGCTGGCGTTATCCACCATTGCTGCCTCCCCAGTCTGATGACACACAGCTGACGGGGACCAGCATTCACCCTTCTGTAGAGTCCTGATAGGGAAAGCTTTCAGAAGTTGGCTGCGTTGGGGGCCCTGTGTGGTTCCAGGAAGTTAAGCGGAATGCATGGACATGAAGGCTCCATGTTGATCCCTCACTGGCCAGCCTGCTCCCAGTAGCCGTGATGGCACAGGATAGCTGGACCATGTGAACGGATGCATTTGGGCACAGCAGTGAAGTGGATAGGTGTATCCCTGTGGGGTGCAAGATGTGTGTGTATTAGCTTGTTTGGAAAGATCCTGACATTTTGCTACCAAGTGTGCAACTACTGGATATTTATCATGCTTGCGAGAACAGAGGAATCCCATCTACACGGGCAGGGAGCAGTATACCATCAAGTACCGTATACGAAGGGCAACCAACATGGGTGCCTGTTGCTTTCATGCTCTGGTTAGGAACCCATAGAGTAGGGGGAGCTGGGAGCCTCCAGATGTTGTTAGCCTCCCATCTTCTCTGACCATTGGCCAATCTGGCTGGGGCTGATGGAAGTCAAAGCCTAACATTCCCCATTCTTGCTGGAGAGGCTGGTTGCTTCTGGAAGCAGAAGATTTTTATATTTATTATTTATTAGATTTGTGTATCACCCTTCATCCCAGGTCGGTTCACAACAGAGAAATGCAAAATCAGAAAACAAAACACATATTTGGCCCCTAGCCCAATCCAGCATGACTTGTCCTTAAGATTCCTAACTGGACTTAATGGTGAGATAGCTGCTAAGCTTCACTCAATGCGATGAGAAGGCTGATTTTTTAAAGTGGGAGGGTCTTTTTAGGGAACAGCATCTAGAAAAACCCTAAACTTTTCTCTAATCCCTACCAGTATGTGTTTTATCTGAGCCAAGGAGTGGAATGCAAACACGTTAAGGCAAGACTTTCCACTGTAGGTTCTCAGTTGTGGGATATCTATTTAAGCAATATTATCTCCCCCCCCTTTTTTTGGAAAAAAAGAGTATATTTCATTCTCTAGGGTAGCTTGCCTCAACCTGCTACCCTCCAGATGTTGGAGTCCAACTCCCATAATCCCTGACCACTGGCCATGCTGGCTGGAGCTGATGGGAGTTGTAGTCCATATAACATTACATTTGCAATTATTTTTGAAAGGCAATTGCATCAAAATACTGGACCACCTCTCTCCATATGAACCAATCCAGCCCCGGCGATTATAATCTGAGGCCCTTCTTTGGTCTGGAAGGTGGCAACACGAGAAGAGGCCTTTTCTGTGTTGGCTCCTTGTTTGTGGAATGCTCTCCCCAGGGAGGTTCGCCAGGCGCCTTCACTACATATCTTTAGGCACCAGGCAAGAACATTTCTCTATAACCAGGCCTTGGGCAGACTAACAATCTATGACTTTTTAAATGTCTTGGTGAGAAGGTTTGCTTTTGTTTTAGTATGTATTTTGTGTTCTCGTTTGTATTTTTCTGTTGTGAACCGCCCCAGGATCTTTGGATGAAAGCTGGCATACAAATTCAAATAATAATAGCCCCAAAATATGTAACAGGCACCAAGCTGGGGCTTTGTCCTTCAGGAAACAGACCGTGCTTGAACTGTGGGATTGTGTTTTTGTGGTTGTTTTTTGTTGTTGTTGTTGTTTTAAAAAACCACTTTTTAAACTAAATAAATAAATGCCCTATCATCCATTTCTTCCCCTTCTGTTCCTCTATCTTCCTCTGTTTCTTTTGAGCAGCTGCTGGCACAGTGAGCGAATTAATCACAAAGAAACATGCTATATGTTGTAGTCATAATTGCATGCAAATATCTTTTTGACCTGCTTCCAAACTAGAGTGGAAGTAGCAGGCAGCTTCCGGGCTCAGGTTACTGGAAGGGCTACAGCATGCAAACTGGATCTTGCCAGTTCTTTTGGGGGGTGGCCGGTGCTATGGGACTCTTCTGGGCTCCCCCACTTTCGGCATTGTTGAGTCGATAAACTGGTGATTTAATAATGCAGCAGCTTCAGAGTTCTATGTTCCCCAGAGCCCTGTCTAGCATCCCATCTGAACCTTGTCCAATTTGCATTGTTTCACACCCTGGTTAGGCCTTGCCATGCCGTCCTGCAGAACACAACACCTGTTTGACCAGAGAACAGGTCCACCTAGTTCAGTGTCCTCTTCCCCACAGTGGCTGACCGGGGGGTGCTTTCAGGTTGCGTAATTATAGTTTCCTGGGTGGCCTTGCACAACAAACTCACTTCCCTAAAATATCCATCACACTGTAACAAAGTGTTTTCCAGCACTGAAACTTAAATTCTGGTTTCACAAGGAAACTCATCTCCCCTCCATCCTGCCCTGACCTGTCTATGTTTGCACACTTGCAAGATTTGGCAATATCACAAAGCACTGTGAAATCCTTATTGGTTGTACAGTGGTATCTCGGGTTAAGTACTTAATTCGTCCCGGAGGTCCGTTCTTAACCTGAAACTGTTCTTAACCTGAAGCACCGCTTTAGCTAATGGGGCCTCCTGCTGCCGCCGCGCCACCAGAGCACGATTTCTGTTCTCATCCTGAAGCAAAGTTCTTAACCTGAGGTAATATTTCTGGGTTAGCGGAGTCTGTAACCTGAAGCGTATGTAACCTGAAGCGTATGTAACCCGAGGTACCACTGTATTTCTGGGTTAGCGGAGTCTGCAACCTGAAGCGTCTGTAACCTGAAGCATATGTAACCCGAGGTACCACTGTATATAAAATATTATAGAAACACCTGTCATTAAATGCAGCAAATGTCTATTGGGGAAGGTGTTTAGGGGAATTCCCCAGTGTTCTTTGGGGCTCAAAATACTAAGGCTGCATACCCTGTGTGCGCGCCCCCCAAAACCCAGGAACCTTAGTATACCCCTCATGGTGCTACAATTCCCAGCACCTTTAAGCTACACTTACCAGGATTCTCTAGGGTGGGGGAATATATATGCTTTCAATGTATGGTGTGCACGAAGTCGCGGGTTTTGTCAGAAAACTCGTCTCCCCGCCACGGATATTCCGTCCGTTTGTCAGACATTTTACGCCTGAGGTTAGACGGAGGATGGGATCTGGTCTCGTCCAGGATCTGCTTTGGAGAAACAACAACTGGGCCACGCTGCGCAGCAGCAGCAGCACCTTCCCTTCTGCTGCAGAGGCGCAGCGCTCAGCCGTTTGCAGCCCAGCCTCTCGCCCCTCCTCGAAGCCGCATCCTGGGGCCGAGCTGCGCCTTTACGCGCCCTGACAGGTGCTGCTCCGCGGGGCGGCGGGGACGGAGCTCGCCGATTGGCAACTCGCGAGGAGATCGGGATGATGTAACCGCACACGTCCCGATGCCATTGGCGGAGAGGCGGTCCCGGCCAGCTGACCGAGGTCCATTGGGCAGGCGGAGGTGTACTTCCCCGCTCCTAGCCTCGGTTGCTGCAAGCAGCCCCGTGCGCAAAAGTGGGCGCTGCTCCCCGCCGGCCTCGCCCCTGCCGGCCCGCGCAGGCTCCCCGGGAGGGCGAGCGGGGGCGAGGGAAGGTAGGTTGGTGCCCCGGACGCGGGTGGGGGAAGATCGGAACAAACAGGTCCTTTCCCCCGCGGGGAGTGGAGAATGGGTGGGCATCGCGCGCTTCCCCACCCTCCGGTCTGTCTGCAGCCTCTCCTCTCCGCCTTAGGGCGCACCCGTCGCCTGCAGGAGAGGTCAGAGCCACCGTCTCTCTCTCTCTAAGGCCTTCGTGGGTGGGTCCGGGCCACAGGCCTAGCTAGGGTCCCATGCGGCTCCCTCCATAAATCGCGATCCCCGGTTAGAGGCGGCCGGTGCTTGTTTTGGCAAATGAATCCCATTTATTGCGGGCTTGCTCCCCAGCAAGCGCGCGACGGATTGCCCTGGGTGCAGAAGCGCCGCACGCGATGAATGGCAGGATTTTGCTAAATTCAAACCAGGAGTTGGGCAGTCAGGATGGCGGAAATCGGGTGCCAGGGGTGCCAACTTGGAAAAATAAATAAATTGTGGGGGCCAAGTAAGCCCCGACCAGCATAATCGATCACATGACACAGTACACAGACAGACACCCACCCACCATTTGAATGGGAATGCCCACTAACTTGGTGGGGGCCCCAGCCCCTAGGAGTTGGCTCCTATGTCGAGTGAGTAGCTGCTCTAACTCGCTTCAATAAACGGCGAAGCCTAGCGGGTTATGGTTTTCATTCTGCATAAATGAATCCCAAATAATGGTTGTGCAGTGTGAGGATTAGCGCAAGATGCAAGATGGAGTTCACTCTTAATAGGTGGCTCCACCCAGGATCTATGGGTCGCCGGACTGGGGATGGTTTCTCCATCAAATGTGGGCTGGGCGCTCCTGGCTTTTCCCTTCTGTTCTATAGCAATGTGATGCCCTCCAGTTGCGGCTAGACTACATCTCCCATCATCCTTCACCATTAGCCATGCTAGCCCATTTGTTTGTTGTATACCCCAGGAGGCAGGTTAGGTTGAGAGTGAGTGACTAGCCCAAGGTTACTCAGTGAGCTTCATGGCCAAGTGGAGATTTGAATCCTGGTCTCCCAGGTCCTAGTCTTAACCATGGTGCCTCTCTGACTCATGGGAACAGCATCCAGAGGGCACAATGTTGATTGCCCCTGCTCTATAGATAGGAAGTTGATGGGCAGAGGCTCAAAGGCTTCTGTATGTGGGTGTGTTTTAAAATGCTATGTGAATTGGTTCTTTTATTTCAGGCTTCCTGAAACTCGGCCCTCCAGATGTTTTGAGACTACAATTCCCATCATCCCTGACCACTGGTCCTGCTAGGGATCATGGGAGTTGTAGGCCAAAAACATCTGGAGGGCCGAGTTTTGTATGCTAATCAATGTATAGTTATGCAGAACTACATGCCCTGGGACTTTAGGGTGGGTAAATAATAATAATAATAATAATAATAATAATAATAATAATAATAATAATAATATATTTCTATCTTCCCTGAGAGGGCTTGAGATGATGCACATGTAGCAAGGGATAACAAAACTCCTGATCTAGCTCCCGTCGCAGGAATGCTCAGATTCCCAAAAAACAGGGTTGAAGCACAATCCACAGATTTGCTCCTTGTTATTAGCTTGGAATTCAAATGATGCTTGGGGAGAAGCAGTTCACAGTGGCCTGTTGCCCAGGATTTATTTCATTTGGAAAATCTTTACTATTGATCACCATCTGAGGCCCCTTTTCATGTGCCTGGAGGGTGGCAACATGAGAACAGGCCTTTTCAGTGGTGGCTCCCTGATTGCAGAATGCTCTCCCCAGGGTGGTTCTGGCACCTTCATTACATAGCGCCAGCTGCCAGGTAAAAAAAATAAATCATTTTTTGCCAGGCTCTTAATCTTATCTGTGGCCACCTAAAATAGGATTGTCTTTTTTATTTTTCTCCCATTTTCCCTTTTATGCCAGTTTCAATGTATGTAATTGTTTGATTATTTATTGTGAGTCGCTTTGAGTTACCTTGGTTTTAAAAAAGTGAGCAATAAATTTAATAGATAAAAATAAATGTAGAGCGGACCATTTGTTCCTCTAAGAGCATCAGGTTCTGTACCCTGAAACTCCCTGAGGTAAAAATGTTCAGGCCCCTGGCCAGAGTAAGGCTCTTGAAAGCAGATAAAATGTTATTTTGTGATTTCAAGCCTACATATGTTTTGGATTCCAACTCCCACCAGCCCAGGCTGCATGGCCAGCTGTCAGGGTGGATGAGATTTGGAGTCCAAGCACACGTGGAGGCCTGACCCTGATTCTTTTCTCCTGCCCAGAGCAATTTAACAATGTCCTCCGTATGCACCACACGTGCACCCTGGGTCCACTATTCTGTATCTCGTTCCAATTCATAGAAATCATAGAATTGTAGAGTTGGGACCCTAAGCACCATCTAGTCCAACCCCTTGCAAGGCAGGGAAATGCAGCTGTCCTACTCGAACCTGCAACCTTGGCGTTATCAGCACCAGGCTTTAACCAACTGTTGACATCGCAAGGGCTGTAATGAATGAACCTAAGTTCGCTGTGCCCATTAACTTCAGTGGCTGTATTCCGAGTTGGCATAGCATGGAATCCCATAATGCCAGGGGGTGGAGAGTAGATCCCGCAAGCCTGTAGCTTGCCATTTTTCGTATCCTGAGCTCTAGGCTGGGATCTACCAGTGCTGCAGAGGGGGATAATTGCATCCTCCTCCTCCTGGCTTTATTTAGCGGTGAGAGCACTTTGACGGCTACGAGGATCCGTTTCAGGCCTTTATTTTTAGGCAGAGATTCCTTCGCTCGCATCCTGGAAACAGCTTCGGAAGCTGGCGTCAGGCCCCGGGATATGAATTTGCAATATCCGGTGCTGGCTGGGGGCCTGCTCTCCTCTGCAACAACTAGCCTGGAGAGTCTGAGCAGGGACTTTCCCCTCACTACACAACATGCCTGCTCGGCTTGCGAGACGGCAAGATGGCTGCCACGTACGGTGGTCTCCCTGGTGCTTGACAGCCCCTCTCCTCCCCTCCCAGCCCCCAATTGTGAAGGCCTCTCAGACAGGTGGCAAAGACAGGTTTCTGCAACTAGCAGACTGCGCTGGCTGCTACAGAGAAAGGCCTAGCCAGGCAGCCCAGATGCATTGTGGGCCATTCGGCAAGGTTTCTGAGTCGTAACACAGTTTCTGGGTAGGCCTCAACCCATAAAATCCTAAGAGTTGGAGGGGATCTTGTGGCTCGTCTTGTCCAGGCCCCAATGAAGAGGATCCAAAGCTAGGGCACCCCAACCTCTAGCTGAAGGCTTCCAGCAAGCAACCCATCTAATGGCATGCACACCATTCATTTAAAGCAGATAACTTAATGAGCGTAGGCCAGGATTAATGGTGGGAGGGCAGGCTTAGTGTTGGGGGAGGTAGAACCTCAGTTAAGTATTTTTATGCATGACTTTCCCCCTAGAGCCCTGGGAACTGTTTACCCCCCTCGTGGCACTACGGTTCCCAGCGCCCTTAAACTACAATTCCCAGGATTCTCGGGAGGGTTTAAATGTATGGTGCTTTTGCAGCCCGACTCCATTGCTGAAGAAAAAGCAACGAGTGTTCAGTGTTACTAATTCACTGCAGTGGATAAATATTGAAAAAGAAATAAAAAATCAGAATAATCACCTTCTATCTCAGGAGGGTGTGTGTGTGGAGATTTCACATCCTGGCACTGCCAGTGAGATTTGCAAGCTTTTCCAACAGGACCACCCACTTGAAGGCTCCTCCTCCTTTCTTCCAGCCCGGTCCCTGCCCTCCTGAAGATGGCTTTGCCCTGGAAGAAGATGGCGTCTGCGTGGCTCCCGCTTCTCTTGCTGCTCCTCGGGGTTCCAAGGGGGAGCCCTTCGCAGCAAGAGCCCTGCCAGACGTGCCGCGACCTGGCCAGCAACTTCAATAAGGTGGGAGGCTTGAAAGAGCCTTTCGGCTTGGGCTGGGGTGTGTGACCGCTCTTGCACAAAGTAGGGACTTGCAAGCATTTTGAGATGGGACGCCACGCAGTCTCCAGCCTAGCCCCTGAGCTCCTGTCTCTAGGGAGGGCTAGGACTGGAGCAAGAGAAAGACAGACAGGCAGAGATAGGGGGTGGGGGATAAGCAGTGGGGCTTGGCGAGCCTGTGTTTTAAAAATCGAGGGTGTGTGGGTTGCTGCATGCAGGTTGTGGGGTGAAAGGGTTGCTGCGCTCAGGGTTGCTGGGGGAAGGGGAGGCAAAAAAATTAGTTTTGGGATTGCTGTGAGCCTTCTCCTGCCTTCTCAGGGTCTGGAGCGGACACAGCGAGAGAACTTCGGGGGCGGGAACACGGCCTGGGAAGAAGAGAAGCTTGCAAAATATGCAAACAGGTGACCTGAGGTCTGGGCTGGGCCAGGCCGTTGGTGAGATGCTGCTGCCTTGATGGGGAGGGGTGGGGTGGGGGTGGCACACCTTCACTAATAATCCTGATCATGAAAGAGCTCAGAAAAATCCGCACGGCCAAGATGGCGCCATTAAATGTAGCCTCTGCTGCAGAATTAAGCGGAGGACGAAAAACTCCGGCTGAAACTGATGCTCTTGATTGTTAAAAGCAAGTTACTAGCCCTCAGGATTAGAGAAGGAAATCGTAGAATCATAGAGTTGGAAGAGACCACAAGGGCCATCGAGTCCAACCCCCTGCCAAGCAGGAAACACCATCAGAGCACTCCTGACATGGTTGTCAAGCCTCTGCTTAAAGACCTCCAAAGAAGGAGACTCCACCACACTCCTTGGCAGCAAATTCCACTGTCGAACAGCTCTTACTGTCAGGAAGTTCTTCCTAATGTTTAGGTGGAATCTTCTTTCTTGTAGTTTGGATCCATTGCTCCGTGTCCGCTTCTCTGGAGCAGCAGAAAACAGCCTTTCTCCCTCCTCTATATGACATCCTTTTATATATTTGAACATGGCTATCATATCACCCCTTAACCTCCTCTTCTCCAGGCTAAACATGCCCAGCTCCCTTAGCCGTTCCTCATAAGGCATTGCTTCCAGGCCTTTGACCATTTTGGTTGCCCTCCTCTGGACACGTTCCAGTTTGTCAGTGTCCTTGAACTGTGGTGCCCAGAACTGGACACAGTACTCCAGGTGAGGTCTGACCAGAGCAGAATACAGTGGCACTATTACTTCCCTTGATCTAGATGCTATACTCCTATTGATGCAGCCCAGAATTGCATTGGCTTTTTTAGCTGCCGCGTCACACTGTTGGCTCATGTCAAGTTTGTGGTCAACCAAGACTCCTAGATCCTTTTCACATGTACTGCTCTCAAGCCAGGTGTCACCCATCTTGTATTTGTGCCTCTCATTTTTTTTTGCCCAGGTGCAATACTTTACATTTCTCCCTGTTAAAGTTCATCTTAAACATCTTAAAGAAATGTTGTCAGCCCTGACAAACATCTTGCCTGTTTATTCCACGATAGCGCAGCTGTCGCCCACAAGCTCCCCAGGGTGGCTTGTCGGCCATATTGCCACCTCCTGACTTTACTCAGGGGGGCCAAAAGGGAACTCCTTAGGGACTGGCTGCTTGAGCAGAGTAAACACAAGCTCTCCTGGTGGAGTTTTGAGAGGAAGATAGGGCCAGCCGGGCTTTGCTGGTCAAAAGAGGGACAGAGGTTTACAAATGGTTGATTGGGCAGTAGACTGGTTAGCAGGGGAAGCAGAGAGGGCAGCCTTTGTAACGCTGGTGGAGGGACTGCCTTGGTTTTCCCAGCTGCCTTGATGTTCACCCGGCTTCTTTCCCTCCTTTCAGTGAGACCCGCCTGCTGGAAGTCTTGGAGGGTGTGTGCGCCACATCAGACTTCGCATGCCACCAGCTGCTGGAGCAGGGAGAAGACCACGTGGAGCATTGGTGGTTCCATGAGTGAGTGGGAAAGAGCAAGAGTTTCCATCATGGAATGTTTCCTTACAACCTGCTTCTGGTTCCATGCTCAGTATGTTTGTAACTATAGGCCAGGGATGGGGAATTTGTGGCCCTCCAGGTGTGGTTGAACTACAGCTCCCATCATCCCTCCCTGCTGACTGGGCCTGATGGGAGTTGGAGTCCAGCAACAACAGGAGGGCCACAGGTGTCTCCATCCTTGCCTGATAGAACATCTCTTCCGAGGGGTCTTTCCTGCCTAATTCTGGCTGCTCCATTCTCGGGCGCAGTGGAAGAGCTGTGCAGGGCCTGTGGTATAAATAAGTCCCAGCATGGGACCAGAGCAGTAACAGAGGCTCTCTTTTCCCCAGGCAACAACAGCACCCTGACCTTTTCCAGTGGCTCTGCATGGATGCGCTGAAACTCTGCTGCCCTCCCGGCACTTACGGCCCTGACTGCCACAGTAAGTGGTCCTGCGTGGCTCCCTGTGCTGTTGCGATGACGCATGTACCTCACTTAAACTCACTCTGATGCCATTTTTGCAGTCATTTACAATCAGTCTTTTTACAGCCCTGGGAACTGTAGTTTGGTCCAGGTGCTGGCATCACAGAGCTACAACTCCCAGCACCCTTAACAAACTACAGTTCCCAGGATTCTCTGTCAAGTGGTGTAATAGCGCTTTCAATGTATGGAGTAGATGTGACCTCTGAGTTTATATGCTGGATGCCTCAGTTCCCTGTTGGGGGTCAGTCAAAGACACTTGTTTGCGCTGTGGGATATTTCTTTGGCTGGTTTGCTGGGAGTGGCTTCTTTCCAAATCAGCCCTCCATAGCCAAAGAGGACTTGTCCCAAAGTACTTTATTGTGAAAGACTGATGGATGGGAAAGGGGGGGGGAGTCTTGTTTTTCCAAAAAAGCTAGGTCAGTGGTGGCAAACCTATGGGCAACGCGTGCCAGAGAATGCACTCAGTGTTAGGAGCTCACCCTACACTCGAGTAGGACCCTGGTAGAGACACATGCCCAACTGGCATGTTCTCTCCCTCCTGGTCGTTTGTTCGGGAGCTTCAAAAGCTTTCTTCAGCCCAAACATCACAGCGACCGATGCCAACAGACATCGGGACACTTAGGGATCTGCAGAGTCTTCGCAGCTTGCGTGACAGACCTCAGCATTTTGGCTAATCTACTTTATTTACATATAAACACACACGGAGCACTGCAACATGTCTCCCTCTCTCTCTAGCATCAGACAGCAAAGAGAAAAAAAGAACAAAGGACAACAGTCCCACTTCACGGAACACAGTAACACAAACATCCTGCCTCCGTCACTTCCCACTCTGTGGAGTCAAAACATATACCGTCATGTGATAGACAACAATCCCATGACTGCAATCATGGAGCAGGAATTCTAACACTCGTAACGCTCTCTGTGGGCACATGCCGTTGCCTCAGCAGGGCCATAGTTTCTGTGCTGGGGGTGGGGGTGGGAGAGGAGGAGGAGGAGGGCTCGTGCACATCCAAAGCCTGCAGCCCTGGTACCGTAGTGAGCAGGCAAGGGATGTCGCTGCCCCCCCCCCCGCCTGTCCCATTTCTGAGAGATCCCTGCCTCCACTCCTGCTTGTAGGCAAGTAGGAGTGGGATCAGGCTGCTCCACTAGGCAGCATTGCTGCTTGCACAGGAACAGGAGCTGGATCGGGGCTGCTTAGCTGGGGAGGTGCAGGCTCCATCACACTTTCTGTTGAGGGGTTCGTGGCTGCAGTCCTCTCAAGGGAGAAGTTTAAAGGAGCCCCCACCTCTGCATCAGATCCCCTGCAACCCTGTGAAGGCAGGCAGGCTGAATAGGTGCTGGGGTTGGCAGCCCGGAAGCTGCATCTGAGAGCCCTGAAGGCAGCCAGGCGCTCCACTCCTGCTTGCACGCAAGTAGGAGCAGGATCGGGCAGCTCAGCTGAGTTATGCCATAAAATTATATATCAATGGAAATATAATTTAATGAAGAATGTAGTGCAATAACTTTTTTGAAGGATTATTTATTACAACAGAAGAAGAAACGTGAAACACAGGGAAAATGAAATATACAGATTAAATTGCCGTCTTGGCACTTTGCAATAAAGAAGTGGCTTTTGGGTTGCAGTTTGGGCACTCTCTCGCTATCACTGAACTAGGTGCATTTAGGATTATCAGCCCCCCAGAAAGTGTGGCTGGTTGATGGAATCCAGCGATTGTTAATCATGTTGTCCACCTCTTGGGACTGAGGGATAGCTCCGTTGGTAGAGCACGAGACTCTTAATCTCAGGGCTGTGGGTTCAAGCCCCCCATTGGGCAAAAGATTCCTGCACCGTAGGGGATTGTACTAGGTGACCCTCAAGGTCCCTTCCGACTCTACAATTCTATGATTCTAAGGGAAGCTGGCCAAATTGAAGTGGTGGAGTATGCGGGCAGCTGGGGCCTTTGAACAGAGTGAGAAAGATACAGAATTGTTACCATTCCAGAGTAAATGCGTATCGAGTGGGGTCATGTGTTGAATTGGGCGGTCTGCACATTGCCATTTAAGGTCTGCTGACCCCCAGCATTTACTCACATCTCTCCACAGCCTGCCCTGGGGGTGCCCAGAAGCCGTGCAGCGGGTATGGGCAGTGTGACGGTGATGGCACACGCAGGGGCACCGGCCTGTGCATGTGCCAGACGGGTTACGGTGGCCCCTTCTGTTCCGAATGTGGAGATGGCTACTACGAAGCTTCTCGCAACGACAGCCACCTGGTATGTGCGGGTATGTAGAGTGCCCATGCTTTGCTAGAGTGGGGGCAGGGTCTGGAGATGTAAGCTCTGCTGCCCGTGCTGGCTAGTGCTGGTTAGTGACTTCCCTTCCTGCCATCCCCTTCCTTTCTTGTTCCCCTTGAATACTCATAACCACACTGTTCCTGAGCTTCCCCCTGTCTGTGGTGGAATGGAGTTCCAGAAATCCCCACAATATTCTGTCAAATAACATGTATAAACCTCATTGTATCCATCTATCAGGGACGCAGGTGGCGCTGTGGGTTAAACCACAGAGCCTAGGGCTTGCCGATCAGAAGGTTGGTGGTTCAAATCCCCGCAACGGGGTGAGCTCCCACTGCTCGGTCCCTGCTCCTGCCAAACTAGCAGTTCGAAAGCATGTCAAAGTGCAAGCAGATAAATAGGTACCGCTCCGGCGGGAAGGTAAACGGCGTTTCTGTGTGCTGTTCTGGCTCGCCAGAAGCGGCTTAGTCATGCTGGGCACATGACCCGGAAGTTGTCTGCAGACAAACGCCGGTTCCCTCGGCCAATAAAGCGAGATGAGTTGGTCACGACTGAACCTAATGGTCAGGGGTCCCTTTACCTTTTTTATCCATCTATCTGTTATATAAGCTGGTATACACATTCCCCTGGCATCCCCAGGCATGTACACATACTCTAAATAAGGCAATATAGTAATACGTTGCACTATATTATTATTATTTATTAAATATGTATGACACCCTACATCCGTAGATCTCAGGGCTGTTCACAGCATACAGTGTAATAATAGTTATATTTATTGCTTAGCATCACTGTTAGCACGTATTGCTAAAAGAATATTTAGGAACACAGGGGTCTGCTTCATTCCAGGTCAGACTGTCTGTTTATCTAGCCCAGGGGTAGCCAACATGGCATCCTCCAGATGTAGCCGAACTACAGCTCCCATCAGCCTCAGCCAGCAGCAATCAATAGTCAAGAATGATGGGAGTTGTAGTCCAACATCTGGAGTCCTGTCTAATCTGTCTGGCAGTGACTCTCCAGAGCTTGAGGCAGAGAGGGATCTTTCACCCATTTGATGAGCCAGATGTTAAACCTGAGCTCTCCTAGGTGCTCTGCCTCTGAGCCCTTGAGGTTGGGGCTGAATCCTTGTTCCCACCGTACCACCTGGCTTCTTTGAGCCCTGTTTCTTAAAACTGGTTTTAATCGGCTAAACACTGGCCCTGTCTGTAGGTACGGTTGCCACAGCTGATCACTCTTACCGATGGACAAGAATATTTTCAACCTGGGCTGAATTAAGCGAAACACGTAGCGAGCTGCCTTTATGCAAAGTCAGACCAATGGACCATGTGCCTCAGTATTGTCTACACTGGCTGGCAGCAGCTCTCTGAGGTTGCAGGTAGAGAACCATGCCTGCAATGGAATCTGGGGCCTTCTGCATCCCAGGCAGATGGCTTTACCACTGAGCTACTGCTCTTCCAAAAGCGGATGTGTCACAGACATGATTTTATGTTCTTCACCACTGTATTGGGTTGGGTGGTGCCTGCGTTTCCTGTTTACCTCCTCCTCTTCCTCCTTCCCTTGTCATCTTAGGCCTGCGGTGTTGAAGTGCTGTGGGAGTAATGTCTCCCTTCCTTATGCATCCCTCCCTCCCTTCCGTAGTTCGTATCAGTCCTTCATAAGCTATTACTCTAGCCTTGGCTTGGAAAGATGGGGAGCTTTTTGCTCTTCCCCCCTACCCACTAGGCTCTCTTCCCCTCTCTAGAGTGCTACCGGGCCTGCGGACGCTGTTCAGGCCCCGAAGATTCAAGCTGCCTTCGCTGCAAGAGGGGCTGGATGCTACATGACCGAAGGTGCATTGGTGAGTTTGTGGGACTAGGCCGGAAAGAATCCATGGTTGCTTAGCAACCAGTGAAAAAGGATTTGAGGTGCTGTGTATTTTGGATATAGGTACCTTGCAGGGACGCGGGTGGCGCTGTGGGTTAAACCACAGAGCCTAGGACTTGCCGATCGGAAGGTCGGCGGTTTGAATCCCCGCAACGGGGTGAGCTCCTGTTGCTCAGTCCCATCTCCTGCCAACCTAGCAGTTTGAAAGCACATCAAAGTGCAAGTAGATAAATAGGTACCGCTCCGGCGGGAAGGTAAACGGCGTTTCCATGTGCTGCTCTGGTTCGCCAGAAGCGGCTTAGTCATGCTGGCCACATGACCCAGAAGCTGTACGCCGGCTCCCTTGGCCAATAAAGCGAGATGAGCGCCAGACCCCAAAGTCGGCCACGACTGGACTTAACGGTCAGGGGTCCCTTTACCTTTACCTTGCAGGGTGGTGCTGATTATTGGGGGGGGGGCAAAGGAAGATGATTCCCACATGGGGACAGAACAAGAACTGCTCTGCGTGAGCCCTGGGTTGACAGATCTCTCTTTGTCCCACACAGACATAGATGAATGTGGCACAGACATGGCGCACTGCCGGGCCAACCAGTTTTGCGTCAACACCGAGGGGTCCTACGAGTGCCGAGGTAAGAGCCCCCGAGCCTTAAAAGTGTGCTGCCCTTAGACAAGTGACTCGGCTCTGCAGAATAATTTATAGCACTGTACCCTGTTCCTCCACTCCAACCCCCTTCCTGGACAAAATAAAAAATAGATGCCATGCTGGACCAATCACTCTTTTGCTGGGGTATAAGAGGAGAAGAAATATAAGCAGCTTGAGAACAATATAATATAAGGGCTTGAGAACAAAGCCCATTTGGAAACCTTCATTCGTCACAGGAGACAACGCCATCTCTCGCCACAGAACTTTAGCGTTCCTTGTCCGCATCCAGTTTCCAGACCTGCCTCTTAATCCTGCCTTTCCCTTTCTGTTCAGATTGTGCCAAGGCCTGCATTGGCTGCATGGGTGCCGGGCCTTCCCGCTGCAAGAAATGCAACAAGGGTTATCGGCGCGATGGTGTCAAGTGCCTTGGTAAGCCCTCTCAAGCAGTTATCTCGCAGCTAACCCTTCCCTGCATGACAAAGCTAGTAGACAAAGCTCTGCCTTTTGTTTGGCCTAGCAGTGAAGCATCATTTAAGGCTGCTGTTCAATTCCTGCCGGTCATCTGACTGCCCGTTGTCGCTGTAACTCTCTGTGCCCCACCCCCAATTTTCTGTTTCTGGAATCCTGGGTCCCTTTTATCGCTGTGCAGTTTTCAGCAATCAATTTCTTCGTACACTTTGGAACTCACTGGCTATTGGCGCCAGGAAGGCACCCGCTTAAAACATTTCTGTTCAGGGAAGCTGATCTAGACACGTGGATGTGAATGTGCTGTAATCTTATTTTTTTATTTATTTATTTTGTTTTACTGTTATCTATTAAATTTGTTTACTCGTAGATGTCAGGGTGGTTCACTACATAAAATTACAATATAAAAAACACAAAATACAGTGGTACCTCAGGTTACATACGCTTCAGGTTACAGACTCCGCTAACCCAGAAAGAGAGCTTCAGGTTAAGAACTTTGCTTCAGGATGAGAACAGAAATCGTGCTCCGGCGACACGGCAGCAGCTGGAGGCCCCATTAGCTAAAGTGGTGCTTCAGGTTAAGAACAGTTTCAGGTTAAGTACGGACCTCCGGAACGAATTAAATACCACTGTACATAATAAAGGTACCACTGTACATAATAAAAATAAAAGCAAAGACGACCCAATTATCCCCCCTTCCACATTTAAAAGGGCATTGAATGTCAGTCAGCAAATGACCTGGTTGTTTTTTCCTGGTTGTCTAAAATAATGACAGCGCCAGCCGAATCTCCCTGGGAAGAGCATTCCACAAATGGGGAGCCTGCAGAAAAGGCCCATTTGCTCTTAATTTTCTTTTACTTCTTTAATTTTCATTATTTTAAATGTTTTTGTTTTTAATTGATGGTTTTTATTGTTTCTTGGAAATCACTGGGAGGTTTTGCTACAGTCAAGCGATAGAATGCTCTCTGTATATAAGGTTGGGGCCTAGAAAGGTTATTCCACCCTCTGTGGGGAAATGGTTCCCAACCACCTAGTGTGACTCCCATGCCCCCTTCTCCCAGATGTGGATGAATGTGCTGAGGACATGGAAGAACCCGTATGCACAGGCGCCAACGAGGCCTGTGAGAACACGGAAGGCAGCTACCGGTGTGTCTGCGCAGAGGGACATGTTCGCAAGGAGGGGATCTGTGTGGAAGACAAACCCCCAGGTAAACCTCAGCAGCAGCAGCAGCATCGCTCTTTACAGCACATGTTCTCTAGCTGGGGAATTGGAGGAGGCAATGGTGCCCTGTGGGGGTCAGTCTCTAGGGCTTGCCTTCTACCCCGGAAGCAGTTTCGTCGGCCATTTTGTAGGTTGCTGCGAACCAATGTTTGGTTTGTCCAGAAGATGACTTTTGCCTAACAAACCAAGTCTCTCATAAGTGATCTGGCTCCACAGAAATGTTAACGCTACCTATCAGACAAGGCTTCCTTCTTACGGAGACAGGCACTCAAGATACAGCATTACATGCAAATAAAAACACTTTAATACGAGTTTTCAGAACGATGGCGAGAGTCTGCTTCACAAGTGAGGAGGGCCAGGCTAGCTGGTGCCATCAGCTCCTGAAGTTCGCCTGAGGATATTTTTGTAGCATTGCTTATTCTAATATTTTAAGTCGCACACTGACTTTACATTAAGGCGGCATATAATAAATGCAATTAGTAATAAATAAACTGCCTGTTGTAGCAAAACCATCGAAGAGGCCACCACATTTATTATGCCATGAGTCATAGGGCTGTGGCCATGAAGACTTGCGACATGATAAATTTGTTAGTCCTTTCAGTCTCTCTTAATAGGTAAAGGACTCTAGGGTTGCGGCACTCATCTCGCTTTACTGGCCAAGGGAGCCGGCGTACAGCTTCCGGGTCATGTGGCCAGCATGACTAAGCCACTTCTGGAGAACCAGAGCAGCACACTGAAACGCCGTTTACCTTCCCGCCGGAGCGGTACCTATTTATCTACTTGCACTTTGACGTGCTTTCGAACTGCTAGGTTGGCAGGAGCAGGGACCAAGCAACGGGAGCTCACCCCGTCGCGGGGATTCGAACCGCCAACCTTCTGATCGGCAAGTCCTAGGCTCTGTGGTTTAACCCACAACACCACCCGTGTCCCATCAGTCTCTTGTTTCTATTTAATGCTAAGTGCAGAGGTAAAATGCAAAATCAGAACAAAGTTGTGGCTTTTATTAAAGCTTGGTGCAGCCACTAGGAGGCTCTAGGTGACAAAAGCTGTCGGTTTCCCTTTTCTTACGACTTGTTCCTTCTCCCACAGATGCTCCGGAGAAAGGATTCTTTGACGACATCACGGACGACGAGGTGGTTGTGCTGCAGCAGATGTTCTTCGGTGCCATCATCTGCGCGCTGGCCACCCTAGCTGCGAAAGGAGACATGGTCTTCACCGCCATTTTCATTGGTGCCGTGGCCGCTATGGCTGGCTACTGGCTGTCTGAGCGCAGTGACCGTGTGCTGGACGGCTTTATCAAAGGCAGATAGTGCACGGGCCAAGTGAACGTCCCCTTCAGAGACATCCTGCCTCAGAGAGCCAGCTGGTGGGCAGGAATCCCTTGACCTCACCCCTTTAAAAATCCAGATTAAAGAGGCAGAAAGGCCAGGCCATATCCCACTCTGGGCTGTTGGTAGCCTTGGCCTAGCATGCTGTGAAGGCAGAAAGGGGACGCGAGAGGAAATGAGCTCTGCAGTCCCACTTTGGCTTGAGAGGAGGGCTGTTGGCTTCAGATGGAGGAGGGAAGTACCCCTTAATGGTGCAAGAGGACTGATCGGGGTCACCATCAGTGGGGCCTGAAAAACAGGTCCCCGTTACTCTCTGACTGGCCTGGCCCTCACTGCATGTGGGATGATCTCAAATGTGTTCCTACCCGTGAATTCCAGTCTCCCCCACACTGGTCAACTCAGATGGACCAGGAAAAAGGTTGACTCACTGTGGAAAGAAACACAGGGTGGGTGAGCTTGGAATTGCTCCCTGCTGGCTCTTGGAGGGGCTGCTTCTGTGGCTGGGAGCTGATCTACACGTTATGCTGGAGGAAATGGCAAAAACTGAGGCAGTACCATTCTGGACTGTTAGCACTTTGAATGCTTCTCCCACCTTAAAAAAAAAATCTCCCTGCATTCAATGAGCCAGCATCATCATTGAGAATCATAGCTGTCAACTTTCCCCCTTTTTAAAGGGAAATTCCCTTATTCCGAATAGGATTCTTCGCAAGAAAAGGGAAAAGCTGACAGCTATGGTGAGAACGGTTTAAGGCATGGCTAGGGAACCTGAAGTCTCCTAGTTATTGGTGAACCTCCATCATTCCTGATCACACTGTACAGGCTTGGGTTGATGGGTGTCCCACAATATCTGGAGGACCACATGTTCCCTATCTCTGATTTAGGGAATAACCTTCTCCCTGATAGGCTAGCTTACTTAATGCAGGGAGTTTTATTGGGAGGGAGCATACAAAGATCTAAGGTCCCACTCCCCCCTGCCGTCTGAAGTGGTACAGTCCAGAATTCTATTTCCCCCGCCAGTCTCTCCTTGCCTCCTTCTGCATAATGTGTGAAACAGCTCCGGTGCTGCCAAGGGGCAGCACGTGAGGCAGAGGAAAGCTTGATTGGCACGCATGCCCATCCTTGCCCCCTCAACCATTTGTCCGTCCACATCTCAGGAAATTAAAGGTCTCTCTGTCCACATCCCACGTGGTTCTGGCTCTCTCTCTCCTGCGCTAATTCCAATTCTAGTGCAGGGTGTGTGTCAAAGCTTGGGACGAGGCCTGCTATCTCAGCCACTCTTAGATTTAAGGCGTTGGTTCTAAAAACTGAAAAATCTCACCGGTTACTACGCACACACGTGACACACAAACAACTGCGTACTCTCAGATGCAGCTCTCGGAATATCCTCTTCTTCCTCCCTTCGCTACCCCCCCCCTCCGCAAAAACTCCTTGTGGAATGTCCTCTCATGTTGTGCAGATAAACTCCTGGCATTTCCAGCAGGGGCAAAACAGGGTGACAAGGGAATATTTCCCTTCAGGCCTTTGGAGAGCTCAACACTTATTGTGCTTGTCAGAGGCCCTTCTCTGTGTTCCATGTTTTGGAGAAGTACATAAGAATTGCCATATTCCCAAAAGTGAAAATCTGGACAAAGTTGTTGGGTGGTGGGGTTTTTTGGTCCATGTTGTTGTCCCTCCCAAAAATACATTTTTTGGATTTTTAAAGCATTTATTTTATTTTTTCCAATTTTCAATAATTTAACAATTTAACATCCATATCACTTATTCATCCCTTCTAGACTTCCCCCCACTCCACCCCTGGTTTCCAATTTCTCCCCTTTATTACCTTACACATCTTTAGTTTTCCATTCAGTTGCAAGTGCGTTGATAACCCTAATTCACATGGCTTCATAGATGCTATGTCAATCCTGCTAATGTTTTTGAGTCTTTACAGTGGAGCTTAAGATAATTCTATAAATTTAGTCCAATCTTGTATTAACTTTTTTTCATCCAGGTCCCGGATTTTCACGGCCCTCTTTGCCATTTTGGCATAGTCTATTGTCTTGGTTATCCATTCCTCCTTCGGTGGTACTTCCTCTTCTTTCCATTTCTGGGCAAGTAGCATCCTTGCGGCTATATTAAAAGCATTTAAAAAATAAAATTACCCCTACTTGCCATACGTCCAGGTTTCCCCGGACATTTTGCCAATTCAGCAAAAATCTGCTCAGACGCCATTTTGTAGCCTGATTCCCAAATGTATGACAGCCCTATGTGCAAAAGAGAGCGACTTTGCTCTGGAGGTGTCATCCTGACTATGGAATGAATGCTCCCCGCCCCCTGTGGGAGATATGTCTGGCAACCACCAGTGCATTCATTTCGACACCCAAGTTAAAACATTTTTATTTCTCCAGGCGTCTTGCACCACAATTATTCTTTTTTTGGCTAACTGGATTGTGTTATTTCTCTTCTAAGATTGCTTCATTGTTTGTCAGCCTAAAAAGCTGCCTTTAGACTGAGCCAGACTCTAGATCAGTATTTCCTACACGGATTGGCAGCAGCTCTTTGGGGCCTGGCGTTCACACAGGACTCTCTTCCACTGCTACCTGAACACTGAACATGAGGCCTACTGCCACTCAGCTAGGACCCTTCCCATTTTTTATTTTTGCAGTTTCACATTTCTTTGTGTGCTGGTGGGAAATCTCTTTGATGAAGGCTAACTTTCCCCCTTTTTAAAAAACAAAACACAAGTAAGATAAGCATTTGGGAAATGGTTGCTCACTCCCCCCCACTTCACAATATCATTATTTATTAAATTTATATCCCACCCTTCCTCCCAAAGGAGCCCAGGGTGGCAAGGATGTAGTGTGTCTTCTGGAAGGGGAAGGGTGAGTAAATGAGATTTTCCTGCAGAGTTTAAGGGGTGGCAGATGATACCCAGCTGTTTTGAAGCAAGTAGATGACCAAAGCTGCTTCGTTCCCACCCCACAAACCTTTGCTCCCTTATCCCTCTTTTCCCAGTTGTTCCAGTTGCTCAAAACAGTGCAGTCAGAGATTTAGCCCCCGACTTTCGACGGGATTAGTCAGGGTAGCTGCTGCCTCTCTCTCCCTTTATCAGTCCATTCATAGCTGTTGAGCTCTTCAGAGGTTATGCCCTCCATCACACCTTTGGTGTCAGTTTCCAGTAGCTCTGCAATGTTTCAAAGGACGCCTCACGCAGACAACCACCCATGGTTCCAAGGGAAGGCCGGTTGATCTTGGCAATCTTTGCTGACCCGGGTTCCAGCAGCCATTCCCAGAATTCATTGCTTCTGAGGCTAAGTGCCTGAAAGCATAAATAACATTTTCTGCCCCTAACTAATCAACCCAATGAGCCTCTGAATAAGTTCCTGAGTTAAATGCCTTTGCACACAAGAGAGAACCTCTTGTAGCTTCTACTAAAGACATGAGAGATTTTTCTGTCGCCCGCCCACCCAAATGTGAATATGATAATCTCCTGAACCACCCCCACGGTACTCTCTTAGTCAGATTTAGTTGTCTCACTCCACGTACGGCATGCGGTCGCCAGTCTGAGTTATTAGAATCTTGCTTTCATCCATAAACAGTGAAACGGTATGAAAGTTCATTTCGATTGTATTCCTGCAAGGCTGTGGGGGAGAATGACTAAGAAATGGAAGCACTTTTGTCAAACTGAAAATGCTTTGCGTGACTGTAAACGCCTTCATAATAAATGGCTTCTCTTCATAATAACAGCTTGGTTTTCTGAAAAGGGTGACAGCAATATCTTCCAAGGGAACAAGGCAAGCTGGCAGGTGATTTAGCTTCATGCCTGATAAGCTGGCCTTTGAATTGCAAATCGGGAGCAAGCCTGGCGGGTTGCTGGCAGGGAGTGCATAGCTCATCTCAAACTGCAGCTGCGCAGGTGCGCCACTGCAGCTGGAAGTTGGGCCTTGAGACGATACACCCCACATTTCTGCCTTTACTGTTAGCATATGCAGTCAGTTCAGTATGTATTGCCTTTCACGCAGGACTCTGTGGTGCTCCGATCTTCAGAAATAAGCAAGGAAATAAAAGATTCTGCCCTGACAAGCTGGATTCTGTGGTCTTTAAATCGTACCAGTCTGCATTACAGTGGTACCTCAGGTTACAGACGCTTCAGGTTACAAATGCTTCAGGTTACAGACTCCGCTTACCCAGAAATAGTACCTCAGGTTAAGAACTTTGCTTCAGGGTGAGAACAGAAATTGTGCAGCGGCAGTGGGAGGCCCCATTAGCTAAAGTGGTACCTCAGGTTAAGAACAGTTTCAGGTTAAGAACGGATCTCCGGAACGAATTAAGTTCTTAACCTGAGGTACCACTATATATGGCTTTCCTCTGCATACTTTTATTATTCTGCATTTGCTAGTCATAGTGGGGAGCTGCGCTGGACACTGAAATCTTACGCGGACCGCCCCTCTCTCTTTCCAAAAATGTTACTGGGATCTTTTAAACAAAAAGGGAAATTACCCCGGGTCTCACATGCAGACAGTCAGTCAATTCCAACAAAAGTTGTGTACACGTTACCAGTTTAAATCACAGCTAGAATGTTCTTTTTTCCTAATTCAGATCAAAAAAGGTTTTGAGGGGGAAACGCATGAAAATACAGAATTTCATAAGGAACGACAGGACAGATATGGATCAGGGCTAACGTTGCTTCCCAAACACATGGTGTAAGCTCACTGCATGCAGATGATGATGATGATTAATTTGTACCCTGCTTTTCTCGAGACTCAAGGCAGCTTGCGGATAAAAATAAAAGCTGCAAGTCTGTATGTATCTACTAAAAAATGACCCCCCATGGAGTTCAATCAGACTTAATCAGATTGCAGTCTCAGTTGGTCTTAAAGGCCCATATATTTTAAAACCTATCTTCATGAGGGTTAGAAACTTGCTTTAAAAAACAAACACACACACACATTTCCACTAGTCTAAAAGTCTACAGTTACAAGCGAGTTGCAAGGCTTTCATGCCTGAATAGCTGTAGGATGCCTTGTAAGGATACCCAGCTACCAAATTGTAGGGTGGTGGGGAGAGAGAAAGGTTAGCCATAGACTACATATATTATATGCAGAAGATCCTGGGTTCATGGCGTAGCCAAGGTCTGCTCATTGCAAGAGGAGTAGAAAGTGGTCGGTTGCTGTGTGCAGCTAGCTGAACGGGATAAAAAGGTTTTAACAACCTATATTCGTAACACTATACTGCTGCTTCATTTGTGAATTTAATATCCGCTGCTGGGGATCTCTCCCAGCAGGAGAGTATGCAAAGCTCCACATTTTGAATCCGGTTACCCAGCCATTTTCTTTTGTCGTTCACAGGGATTCATAATATTTCCCTCCCCGCAGGAGGCTGCAGTTGTTGGCTCTTTGCTGAAATGCTGGGAGATGCTTCTACGATAGGGCTGCCACACGTCCGGGAATTGGGCCGGAAAATGGCGCCCGGGAGGATTTTCGGCAAAATGTCCGGGGAAACCTGGACATATGGCAAGTTGGGCTCAACAACTTCCAACACTCCTCCCCCCAACAAAACCCCAAACCTCTGTCTGGATTTTCACTTTTGGGAATATGGGAACCCAAGCTTAAGGCCTGTGTGGCTAAGTCTGCGCCACAGCCAACGTTGTCCTTCATGTGAGGGTGCCGTTCCAGTTCAAAGAATTGTAACACAGCAGCTCCTGTTCCCTCAAGGCTCCCAGGCCTCCCATAGCCTCTCATCCTGCCACTGCAATTCAATCAGCTGGGGAAGGGAAGGCAGGCAAACGTGTCTGAGGGAAGCTGGAGTGCTATTTTGGATTTCAGCTGGGAGCATAATTCATCACGTTTCAAAGATGTTCGTTGCCACCGCTTTTTTTATTTATTTTTGCTCATAACCGTAGCCGTAGGAATAGCTTAGGCCACATGTGCAGAGACACGCACGCCAATTTCTGCTTTTTGAAATCAAGGGGTTTTGTGCTATTGAATATCTTGCATTTATAACCCATGGTTACACAAGCCTGCTTATGTGCATTAACAGATGGAGGTGGCAAAGTTCTGAGGTGACAGAATGGACGGAAGGCAGGACGTCACATTTCTTAAATATTTCCTCACGTGAAAATATTCCTCCCTGCGTGTAGTGAGCCAGCACGTTATGGGTTATGGGCCATGCAAAAGCAGAAGCAGGCTTGAAAGAACATACTTGGTAACTCACTTAGTGTGACGGTCCTTCAAATACGAAGGCCATCTTCAAATATCTGAAAGGCTGTGTCACACAGAGGATGGAGCAAACTGGTTTTCTGTTGCTCCACACAGACGGCAAGACCTGAGCCAACAGATTCAAACTCCAAGAAAGGAGATATCGACTAAACACTAGGAAGAATTTCCTGATGGCACAAGCAGCTTAACAGTAGAATAGACGGTGTTGGAAGATCGT